TCGCAAGCAATGAGCGAATACGAGGCAGAAGGCACGTGGCCCTGCCAAGCCACCGGCCCGTCAGCAGGAGCAGCTACATTCAAGTTGTCAACGTCCTTCGGGAACAGCCCCGCGCGGACATGTTCGTCGTTCAGCAGCTTCGTCTTCGCGTCCACGATGGCGTCGCAGTCCACTTCTGTAAATGAAAGCGTGCTAGAGAACTGTCTTTGATCCAGTAGACGGAAGAACAACGTGTCGAATCCAGCGCCCAAGGACACGATGTTGACTTGGGACGACGTCGCATCTACAGTCCCGGAAATTGTCAAAATGTCGACCTAAAGTTGCACTAAACCACTGAATTACGACCAAACTCACACTGCGAGAGGAAGAGCTCAACGCAACGAGCAATTGCCACGTGACGGAGGTAGTAACCGCGATGGATCTGCAACGTAAAAGACCACAGAGAGCCAAGTTAGCACAAGAATTGCTATTTCAACAGCGAACTCCATCTTGCAGCTTGTTTCTTTGAATATTAAGTACCAAAGGGATACGACGTGTGGGTTTATCCACGAAGAAGCGGAGGAAAGGATCCTGGAAGTAGCCGAGCGTCACTGCGGAGCTGAAGAATCAAGTACAGCGATGAATGATACACACGATTTAGAGGCTGCTGCTGGTGGCTGTAAAACATTTAAAGACAAGAAAATGCTCTCGGGTACAGAATAGTCATCCTGCTTAGCCTACAGTTTGCACTTGACAGCGTCGAAGGCCGTCTCAGTGACGTTGTGGTCGCTCGTGCCGCGCCATTCGGAGGTGATTGACGACGCCATGTCCAGCAGATTGCTCGTATACCCTCAAAGTATACATTTACCGGATGTAGAAAATTATGTACTGTCCATAAATCAGGAGACGTGACAGTGATTGGTATTAATACTTGTACTCGAGTATTAGAATCAAGACTATTTTAAAAGTATCAGCTCTAATACCAACCCTATTAATGTAAGTATCTGATAGCTCGGACTTGTTCAATGCATGTACCGGCAGACATGCGTTAAGTATAATGTCCTCAGCATTCAGCTGTAGATGCCTGTGTTTTGCGTTCGCTCTTAGATTTTTGCACTTAATAACGTATGCAAGATGAGCAATTAAAGAACAAGGCAACAAGTGAGTCACTTCAAGAGACGGGCATTTTTTAATTGAAGAGTGAAAGACGTCACATCTATGAATATCCTTTTCTGAAAATTGTAGCGTACCGATAGGAGTTATTGGATTAGTATCAAATTACGATGAGCAAAATCAGTGCTCATAATCGTATAGGTAGTCTGTCGGCTCGCGATGAAGGTTGTAGCGAAAAAAATGACTATGGCTCTATCCTACTGACACACGCGTGTGCGAATGCCCAATCAATCAAAAGTTTTTTGCGATCTCTCGAGGCAAACGGGAGCGCTCACAAGCAGCTCGTTATTAGCTCAAATGATACTACTATATTTTTTTGTTATTAGAACTACTAAATAAAAGTGCAGAAAATCAACTATTAAAAAAACAGCCTGTAATATTAGTAGTACTACCGGTAGTAATTCTAAGACCAGCAGTATTACCGGTTACACTCTCTTCGAGTTTTCCTAAATCTACCGAATTCTAACACCCGCAGTGATCAAGGCAATTCATCAGTGGAGCCCACTTTCAAGTTTACCTACCGCAAAATCGAATTTGCCAAAACCACTATGCATATCACGGTTTTTGCCTCAGTGTTTTTCCTTATCCGATTGAGTAGCGGCAGCTAAACGGTTTTTCGCGATTCAATCCAATTTATATAGGGGTTTGTGCTACACTGTTGTTTTGACCGTGTTGTCATTCTGAGAAACAAAAGCGGCATAGCGGCAGAGATTGCCGCTCAGCTATAAGTTCGAATGCCATAAGTGTCTCCAAGTCACGCACTTGAGTACTTTGAAGTACCGGTATGAAATAGTCGCAAAGTTGAAGTGAGCATGTCGAAGTGTTTGATTGGCCAGCTTACTTCAACTCGTCGCCGTTCTACTCGTAAAATCTACTGTACCAGCAGCTCCAAATTTCCATTTGCAAAGTGCACGCTTCCCCCATTATTTTGTATTCTCATAATCGTATTGCATGTTTTACTATGACTCCGTACATATATCTTTTTATTGTTCCGATCAGGTAAGTTTGTTAGAGCAATCACTTATAGAGCAAGCGCCCATGTATGCTTCGTGATCCATCGCTCGCGAACTACCGACCAAATGCAAGTTAATACAATGATCTCCTCTAAAAGCCCGCAAGTCAACCGATATTTTAACCAAGTACGGTAGCGATTTGAACCAGACGCGTCCACCTCCACCAAAGCCGGTCTGCAACCGCAGCACTGTAGCCATCTGTTGCGGTGACGAACTCTGCACTGACACGTTTAGTCTTCACAAAATTCTATTGGCGGAAAGGTGAGCATATATGCGGCAGTATGCCGAAGCCGCCTCCTCAAGTCTTAAATCTCGAGTCAAGGACCAGGTTCGCCGCCGCCGCAACGCTCGTCGCTCATTCCCGAATCGGACACGGCGGTGAGCTCCAGTCCCCGACCGAACGACCGAGTCAAGAAGAAACGGCCTCCTGATTCTAAGACGGAACAGTCACCTTCACTTACAGAGCAGTTACCATGTTCCAGTTCCACGCGTCTGAAAGCCCCAAGGTCGACGAAAAAGCGGCCGATATTGAACGCTATCGTGCTCGTCACCGGCGCATGTGTCGCGGTCAGCTACCGGACGCAACGCCCAGTCCGCAGATCGAAGACTTGGACGTGGAGGACGGACGGACGCGCAAGATCTCGGCCAAGTGGCGGCAACAGACGCAACCGCAGCAAGTTCCAGTGAGCAACCAGCTCCACGACGCGGAGATGCACGTGGGCTTCAACGCCTTCGACTTCTCAGCGTCGCCCGAGGCGTTCCACGAGCCACAAGAGCAGCAAACCGAAAGCAAAGCGCCTGCATCTGGTCAAGACAACAACCAACAGACACTACATGTAGAGCACGACGCAAGTAGTCTGTGGGGACGAAGGTTTCCCGGTCACCAAGCGTCTGGACATCCCGTCAAACAACTGCCCACACTAGGACAAGAGGCACTATGGGGAGGTCGCGTGCACTACACGACACAAGACGCACAGCGCCAAGCTCTGTACTACCAGCCGCAATATTACGCATAAAACTTCATCACAAATTGTATTATAAGATTTCTTAAGTAACTAAAAGCAATTGCCTTAGAATGCTGATTTGGCTACGACTCAATGACGACAGGCTGTGTGCGATGCATGACCGACGCCAGGTACACGATAAGCACCACCAAGAAGGCGATGACAGCGTGTCGAGGGTCTTCTTGCATCCACGCGAGCAACGATCCGTCCTTCTCCACCAGCTCCTCGTCGCTGTCGTACGCTTCGACATGTTCGTCCACGTCTTCGTCCAGCGCCTGACTGCCGTTCATCTTGGCGTCGTGTTCGACACTAGAACGTCGCTCACTGTGCATCGCGCTGGCCGAGGAGCCGCTTCTATCGCCTCGGTTAGGCAGCAGGTCCCTCGTGCTGCTACTGCGTCGTCGGAGCTGGGAAAAGTTGGCATCCCACGACGTCCAGTTGTCACTAGAGCCGACATGACGCCGCACTTTGCTCGCGTCCGTGAGCGACTCGAGCCACTCTTCGCCTTCGTAGATCGTCTCTGTTCGTAGCGCCAGGATCTCTCCATTCGGCTTGATAATTGCGATCCGGATGCTGTCGTTCTCGCCTTTCTCCAACGCGAACCGCGAGACATCCGGCCCGCTATTCGCCGTGATCTCGACGACTTCGCAGCGTGTCAGCTCCATCATGTCGCGGTACTTGCGAGAGCGTTTGTGCGAGTAATACGAGAACAACGTGCCGTCCAGTCTGCACCAGCGCTTGGACCAGCGTGACGGCACCATCGTCACCTCCTTGGCGCCTCCTTTCTCCGCATTTCGTTGCAGCTTGCGCTTCTCGAACGAGATGGACAGATACCCGACTTTGACGCGGTTCTCGGGCTTCTGGCGCTTGTAGTTCTCTCGCAGCGCTTGGATTTCGTCGTGATACGTGTGGACGAGGTCGTCCCGAGCCAGATCCAATAGGTTCGGCACGCGCTCCATGAGTTGGGTACGCGCGGTGGGTTCGATCGCGTGGAAGCCGAAGATCAGGCTCTCTAACGCCAAATGGAACGGCGGAGGAGGTAGTGTCAGCTCCAACTCTATAGGACGGAAGCTGCTGGTGTGAGGAAGCGTAGTCTCGCCTGTACGAGACGTGGAAGACGCGGTAGACTCGCTGCCTCCAGCACTGTGAACGGTAGTCTCCTCATTAGTTGCGACCGAGTGATTTGGCTTCTTGTCGTCCCTAAAAGAGCCGCGTTTCTTCACTCGTAAAACAAATTTTCCATCGGGATTAATCGAGAATCGAGCTTCATCTTTCGGACACAATTCAAGCTGCTGGTGTTGCGAATGCGCGGTGTCCCAGAGCTCCACTAAGCGATCAAGAGGCTGCTTTACGTCTTCAAACGACGACACTAACGAGCTGAAACGCGTGTCGAAAAACTCGAGCAGATATCGAAGCTTCATCTTGGCGTCCACTTTGAACACCAAATGTTTCTGGAACTTGCCATGCGAGAATTGGTGAAAGTAGTCGGTGTCTTGAACGATACTGCCGATGGACAGGCCCTTGTACTTGAGCAGACTTTCAGTCAGAGCTCCAGGATCCACATACAACCCCACAGTGAATCGGTATTGGTGAGAGCCATAGGGCTCGTCGTATTCCTCTGTCGACACGGAGAACGTGTGCGCCCACGTGCCCAACAACGCGCTGCCGTCGACCACCAAGTCGCCACTGAACATGACGCTACTGTCTCGGTCCACCACGGGGCCGAAATGCACCATGAGACTTCGACTCTCTCTGCGCAACATCTCGAGCTCTTCGTCGTCGTAATCGGCCCATTCGTCTTGAGTTGACGGCTGTCGATGGATCTTCGGAGGGCCAAGTTGACTGTGTCTCCTGGCTCGACTGCCTTTACGCGGCTTGGTCACTACGTGCTCTTGTTCATCGTGAGGTTTCGCTTCACTCTCTGGCCCTTCTGGATGCTCCTTATCGCCATGTTCCGCAGCACCAAAGAGATCTTCCGCCTCACTGTCATCTTCGCTATCGTCCGAGTCCGAATCGTCATCGTCATCACTGTCCAAGCTCTGAATCCGGTCGTGAAGACTGCCAAAGATCTCGTCCTGTGCATCGAGTACTTCTCCACCCCAAAGCGACGGCAGACGCTCCACCAATCCGCGTTTGGCGTCGTGTTGGATCGAGTTACTGTCGAAGAAAAGGGCTTGGATGCTTTTGCAAAGAGCATGCGACGCAATCGGCGGGTACAGTTGGCCTCGTAGTCGGTATTCGAAGCGGTCGTCCTCGTGTACCCGCATGACCATGGACTCGGCTTTCTTGAGCGATTTCTCAATGAACCCGAGGAATGTGCTAAGTGCAGCTGCGTTTCCTCCCATTCGAGGGGCCAATTCGTCACGTAGCAGAGCCGTGAGCACTGATTTGGACACGCGTTTCCGTGCTGTGACCACAAAGCTGCGTCGAAATGTCGTTTGGAAGAGGAAATGGTCGTAGAATTGCTGGTCTCCGTACAAACTCTTGGCGTCGCGTCCATGGAACTTGTCCAGCTCTCTGGTAGCTGTCTCCGGGTCGATATACATGCCCACAGCCAAGATCCGCTCGTCCGTCCAGCCCATACGACGCACAATGGGCCCCACACCCACCAACAAGTCGCCGTTTGCTAGACTGGGGGGGAATGTGATGCGAGAGTACATTTCTTTCATGGGTCCATACGTCATTCGGGACTCTAAGATCGGGATGACGTCTTCTCCGAAGGAATCTCGCTTCATGTGGCCCACATGGTCGTTGTCCAGCACATTGTGCGCCATCACGGGGGTCGACGCGCCTCCCCCGTCCATAAAGTCCCCCGTGTCCATCGAGCTGCTTTGATGCACGAGTAAATTACTTGCGCTACTGTTATGGTCCAAGTCATCGCCCCCCAGATCGGGGATGGGCAAGTACGTGGGCTTCGCTCGACGCTCCGACTTGTTGTCGGTCGGTGTCTGCTCCACGCTGGCGTGGAAGACGTCACAGAAGACGTCGATCCACTGGTGTCGCTCTCGCTCGGTGGCAGCAGCCAGGGTGAGTTTGGTGTCTTTAATAAACAGCAAGAAGCCGAACGGTTTGGGCTCGCTGCACATGCGGATGGTGATGGGCGTGTGTGGCGTGAGAGGGATGTCTCCCTTGCGGTTGCCCTTCTGGCTGAAGTATTGGAGACGCGTGCGTTCCAACACGAAGTCGCGCCATTTCCACGTGAACAAGCGACGGTCGCGACGCATGAGTTTGCCCAGAAGTAACACGCCGCTGCCGGGCGCGGACCCGCTGGCCGCGTGTAGGTGCGGCGTGGAAGGGTTCATTTGTGGCGTGTCGAAAGCAGAAGCGCTTGTCACGGCCGTGGAGGAAGAGGTAATAGGGGCAACGTCGTCGCCGTCCGAGCGCCTCATGTTCGTCGAGTTGTTGCGCGCGTAGTTAGACGCACGAGGAAGAGCAGGAGCGGCGACAAGTGCGGCGTGGCAATCCACTGCGATGCCACACACTTCACTTACGTGACGACGGAAAGTAACTTTGTTAAGTGGTCCTACTTCAATCACGACTACTTCAGATGTGCGGCTTTCACATTTGAATAAGTATTCGTTATGGCGGGAGAAGCTACGGAGGTGACGGTGACAGAGCCTGTGCCTGCTGAAGAGCAGCCGGCGCTGCGCTACTCGTTCTTGGAGATCAAGGAGGCGCAGCGCGTATGTGGTGAGAAGATGAACGCAGCGGCGCTGAAGGAATGCGGGTCAGCATCCGCAGCCCAGCAGCAGATCTTCAAGGCGCATGTGAACGACCTGTGCGCGACGGTGTTCGCAGCAGCGCTGAGGAAATACAACCCAGAGGACAAACGTGTGTGAAAGAGTGATGGTATATATAATAGTGAATGTCTGTTGCTGACGTTGTATCTAACCACAGAGGAAGTGGCGCCTGTGGATGAGGAGACAGTCGCCAAGCTGAAAGAGTTAGAAACGAAGCTCAAGGAGAAGGAAGCTGCTGTCAAGAAACTCCGGGAACGAGTACGATGCTAAAGAGTGATGGTCGATCTTGACCTTGGAGGCTGATGTGGTGATTTCTTGCAGGTACCGAGGATGGCGGCGGCTGATGCCCGTCGAGAACTGGAGAAAGCTCGCAAACGCCACGCAGATGTGCTCGTGGCGTACGTTGGAAATTTGGTTTATTGGATATTTGGACGGTGGAGCAGAGAAGCTGAGCTGGATGTTGGTGATGCAGGGAGCCGGAGTTGACGGGAGACCTTGGCTCAGAACTGACGGAAGAGCAAGTGGAGGCACTGAAGGCAGCCTACGTGAAGGTTTGTTGGTTGAATGACGCATACGTTGCAAGGTGGTTGGCTGATGATAAAGTGGCGGTTGCGGTAGACGACGTCTTCGATTGCTATTACGAGTGCGAAGCTGTCACAAGTCATGGACCAAACCACCGAGACGATTAACATTGTACGGCTTGGGCCGTTGTTGTTGTTGTAAACGGACAAGAGCTGACTTGGTGGTTGGTTTTTGGTGGTGTTAGGTGGAGAAGGCGATGAAGCGGCCAAAGACTGAAATTGACATTGCTATGGAGAACAGTCCGATCAAGGCCAAGGCATTGCTCAACGAGGAGGTATTAAGCGGGGTGTTGACAGTTCGGATGCATTTTCAGAGTGCTAACTGCATCTTGAACGTGGCACAGGAAAAGAACAGCCTCCAGCAGCCATCGCCTCTTCGAACTCGTCTAGCATTGCAGTTGAGCGCCTCTAAAAACGTGTAATACTAGAGTATTGTTGTGTCATACGCTTGCTGGGTCTGCCAGCGCACTAAAGCTACCTTCTTTAACTTTGCGATATTCAGCAGTACCTTGAAAATGGAAAAAGGACTCGTAGGAATCAAAACACAACTGCTGTGACCGAGTCAAAACATTCACCCGTCTACTGCACATGTATGTATGTGGATAAAAGCGAGAACAGTGCTCACTCTACATAGGTTGCTTGGCACTCGGGGCTCTAAGGCGGCTTACGACGGACACCCTCGTCGTCTCTATAACCTGGTGCACGCATACCAGCGTGACCAAAGCCACGGTGAAGTCCCACGCATCGCTCACTTGGTCTGAAATGTCCATTTTCTCGATAGCATTGTTCACTAAAGCCGTTAATGTCTTCACTTTGGGCTCGTAGAATACCAGGAAGCGAGTTGGGTAGGTCTGAAGAAACTGGAACAAGGGAAAAGCGACCTTCTTTCCATTGGTCAGACACAAATCCAGCGCCACCACCAAGCACGAAATCCACAGGAAAAGCGTAGAGCGATCAATGCGTCGTCGAGAAGTTGCAGCTACTGCTTGATGCGGCCGAAACTTCAGCTTCATTTGGGCAATGGCTAGAAGCAAAGGAAACCAACAAGGCACAGTACCAAATACTATCAATAGTCAATGCGACTTGCTGTAAACGGCCAGACAATATGAACTTCATAATAAATATATCCACCTTATTAAATTGAAACAGATAATTGACACAAGAAACTAACAAAACTAATTGATCTTTTACACAGGAACTGCCTGGAATTTTAGCGCCAACCTGGCCAGACACCTACAGGGGCGTCAGGAATGGTCTTTACTCTGGAAAACTTACGTCGTGGTGGAGGTTTGAAGCTCACGAAGAGTCGGTAATACATTATGCTTCCAACACAAACTGTTATTTTTATATTTAGATATTAATAAAATCATAATTAAGCAAGAGTTAAATGATATTTGTGGTATATCCGAAAATAATTTCCAGTAAATATATTTCAATGGACGACCAAAACATTGTTAGAATCCTCACTTGATCAAAGAGCTGCTCAACTAAGACAGCAGCATACAGTTCACAGGAGTCCAGTCGACTGAGGTGTCGACAACCAGCTCCATCAGTGCGTCACCATTCAGGCTCGCTGGCTCCACCAAAATATTTTCAGCAGGAGCGATGAGTTGCTCCAGCTCATCAAGCAGCAAGGCGTCAAGGGCTAGCATCTCTTTGCTGGGCTGCCAGGATATCTCGCTCTCACATGGTTGCAAAAGAGGAAGTGGCTCCAACTGCAGCACTTCAAGCAACGTTTCTTCTTCTTGTCCGGCAATCGGAGAGTCGATGGCTGGCATCATCTCGAGAATACTGTCACCCGCTGTCGATGACACAGCTTTGCTTTCGGTGCGCGACTTTCGATGGCGCTTGATTCGCTGTCGGTATTTCTGCGCGTGCGTCATCACTTGACGAGGTGATCTGGTGCCAATGTGATGAGCGATCTTCTTCCACGGTCCGGCTCGATAGCCTCGAGGAACTTCTCGTGCTCTTGGGTGGTCCACCATCCTATCGTTGATGCTTTTTGCTTGAAATCTTTGCTAGAGCTGGAGAAACGCTGATCCATGCGGATCAATTGCGGAGTGTTGGTAGCGCCCCGCTCAAACGCTTGTGACTCCCTTGGTAATGGTCATTGCAACTGGTTTCGATGTCGGCAAAGAAGGTGAGGTTGCTGTGTGTTGATGCGTGCAAAAAGCGGAATGAAGCTCGGCAATCTCCGTCAATTAGCCTCGTACACCACCACGGCACTACCAACGTCGCTTGAAGAAAATCCGGCACCAACGAACTCATACAAGCAATGACCGCACGAAATGGATTCAACTTGGTACAGTGTGCCATTTCATATGTAGCCGTCACTTTTCCACACAGGATTTAAATACACACGTGTATCTTTTAAGAAGGTCTACTCTAAGAATGATTTACTACTACATGTAGTAGTACTTTTTAAAGTAGATCAATAAACGATTCTAATTCCAAAAGATGAAGAGGAAGAGTGAGCAGTTGAAAATACAAAAGTAACCAGCCTAAAATTAATTCCCCATGAAGACTAACACCAATCCAATTACGTAATTGTTCGCTCGACTGCCACGTTCATAAGTCTTTTTTATTACTCCTCGATCTCTGCTCCATGCCGATACATTTGCAAGATCAATCCCACGATGGCAATGCAGAAGGAGATCAAGGCGTACGCCGCGACACCAATGAGCGAGTTCGGAAGAGGTTTCATCAGCAGCATCACGGTATTCAGTGCCGAGTTGGTGTACGGCATGTACCGCTGCGGCGCATCCAGCATGGCGTATCGGACCAGAACGCTCTTCTGGTGCGAGAACGCGTCGAACGAGTATTTGCCGTGGTAGGAGCCCATGCCCGACGCCCCCACGCCCCCAAACGGCAAGTTGAGATTCACCGACTGCACAATACTGTCGTTCACACACGCACTACCGGAACTGGTCGCATCCAAGACACGTGTGCGGACCTTGTAGTTCGATGTGTACACGTAGAGCGCTAGTGGCTTCTCACGGTCGCGGACAAAGTCAATAACCTCATCCAACGAGTCGTAGTAGACCACAGGCAACAGAGGACTGAACACTTCTTCCTGCATCACAGCACTGCGGGTAAAAGCGTCCATATCCTTCTTGAAATTGAGCAGCGTCGGGGCCACAAACTGATCTTCTCGGTCCTTCTCCCCGCCAAACACGATAAACTCTGCATCTCTCTCCAGGAATCCAACGACACGATCGAAGAACTTTTGTGTGATCAGTCGTCCGTACGACGTGCTCTGCTGTGGGTCTTGGCCGAAGAAGGCTGCGATTTCTTTCTGAATCGCTGCGACCAGTTGATCGCCGATCTTGGCGCTCACCATCACGTAGTCTGGACGCAGACACGTCTGGCCTGCGTTCATGAACGCCGCCCATGTGATGCGTCGTGCAGTGACTGCAACATCACACGTCTCGTCCACAATAGTGGGGGATTTACCGCCCAGTTCCAGGATCGTGGGCGTGAGTGTCTTTGCTGCGGCTTCCGCTACGATCTTGCCGATGGTAGAGCCACCCGTGCACATTATCAAGTCGAATTTCTGCTGCAAAGTGGTCTGAGTAGCTGAGACGCCGCCGTGTACCACGCGCACGAAGCGAGGGTCTAGATACGTCGACACGAGCTTGAGGAGCAGCTCACTCGTGTGCACACACGTGTCATCCGATGGAAGTCTCAGTATTACGCAGTTACCGGCGCTGATTGCACCTACTAGTGGACACAAGGAGAGCATAACTGGGTAGTTCCATGTGGAGAGAATGCACACGACGCCCATTGGCTCGCGCTGGATGTAGGAGCGGCCTGGCTGGTTGGCCAGGTTGGTCCACACGCGCTCGGGTGCCGCCCAGTTCTCCATCTCCTCCTCATGCAGCGAGATCTCGCCACGGACGGGCGCTATTTCGGAGATGAGCGTCTCGGCTGGCGGCTTGCGCAGGTCCTGGAACAGCGCGTCTTGCAGCTCACGCACGTTCTCGTTCACCATGCGCCGCAGCTGCTTGAGCTGCTGAAGACGCGTCTTTAGGTTGCGCGTGGCACCACTGCGGAAGGAGGCGCGAAGAGCTCCAACTGAGGCGACGATGTCGTCGGAGGCGGTGGGGGAAACGCGCGTGGTGCTGTCGGCCATGGTGGATTGGGCAAGTTGCATTGTGAGCGCTTCGACGACTCGTCAATAACGAGAATGACGAGGAGCTCCGATACTTCAACCACGTCATGCTTGTCGTCCTAGCGGTTTAAGGAGGGTCTGGCAAAAGGTAAACTTGTTGGCACCGTGCCATCATGTTGACATCACACCACGAAGTTTACGTAAATTAGAATAGCATACTTAAATGGAGATACAGTAATATTTAGCGTTATTATGGCAATGCTACATGTATTAATAATCTTCATTTCCAAAAATGTCGGTCAACTTCGTAGAAAACGGCAGTCAAACTCGTAGCTTAAAAATTGGCAAACAGAAAAATTACGGTTAGAGCCTAATCAGTGCTCAATGTGCAATCAGCCTCATTGATTATTTACCGTAGACCATAGGTATTCCTTCAGCAGCAGCGTTGACAGCCTTGCTACAGTGAAGCTCCATACAAGACAACAGAGCCGAGGTCATACACTTCATTTCTGCCTTAGCAGCCCTCTCCAGAACGCGCATCTGCCTTCCAGCGAGCGTTATCAAGTCTTCATTTTCGTTTAGCTAACGGCTGCAGTCGCAAATTTCCTCGCAGTAGATTGCTAAGTTCCTCTTGATGTATGCCGTTAACACACTGAAACATCCCTCTATCGGTTTGCGCATGGGGGAGTACGGCCCGAGTCGTAGTAGCTCCATATTTTCGTACTCGGTAACGCGATCCTCCGTCTGTCGGTGGGCAGGAGCATTATCAAGAACGATGACAATCTTTTTGCCTTGGAAGAAATTGCGGAACTCTTGCGACTCCTTGACCGCCTTGTAAATCTCTTCGACGAAGGCAGCATTCTAATCCATACGAATACTGCCATGTTCCAATTAATCCCCAGCCCAACGCTTGACGAAACAGCACATTGGATCTGGAGATTGGCCCCTTTGGAGGGTGGAAGGCTGAGCACAGTCCTCTTTCCTCGCCTAGATCGCCCTCGTAAGCGCTTTAGATAGATGTTGTAGTTAGTTTCATCATAGTAAATGATGCCGTTACCTGCGTCTTGATACTCCTTTAATTTCACGGCGAACACGCGTCGTTTCTCGATGCTGATATCGCTATTACACGTTGTAGGCTCGACCCTCACTTGTTTTAAGGTAAACAGCATGCCCTTCAGGTGTCGGCAAATCGTCGACGTGTCTACCTCAGCACCACAGTCCAGAAACAACATTGTCCTCATGGTGTTCAACGTGTAGGTACAGTTATCATTCAGGTACTCCTCCAGGAAGACCTTAGCTTCAGGTGTCATCTTCACGTGCTTCGCGCCTCCCCGAGGGAGATTGTGCCACGCCGTACTATGTCGTAGGCAGTAGTCGCAGGAATCTCGTTGAAATGGGCAACGGCTAACCAGTCTTCTCGACCGCCACGATGGGCTTCAAGGACTCGCTGTTTCTCGATGAGGGTGTGCGGCGTGATTCGGGAAGGCATCTTGGCGACAAACGGTAAGTTAGCAAATGAACCAGATCTCCCTTCTTTCTGAGTGAGCTATACAAACCTCGGGCTTTGGCGCGAGGAGAGCAGAGCCTGTATTTTTGGCACGAGTCAGTCGCGCATATCTTGTACGAGGTCGATTGCAGTTTTTCAACATTGAATAGCTCCTACCGTAATTTTCCTATTTGCCAAGTTCTAAGCTACAAGTTTGACTGCCGTTTTCTACGAAGTTGAGTGCACAAAGGTGTAGTCTGTACAGGAGGAAGCTCCTGTAAAACCTGTCCTACATGAACCTTGCGAAACCCGATATCCTGTCGTACTTGTACATGAAATAATTCAGGTCCACCAAGTCCGTTCCCAGAGATTACTTTGGAGTAAACTTGATATTGCTCAAATGACAAACATGATACAGTATTGCACTCCGTTTTTCGCACCCTCGGACCTTTGATAGACTTCCGGATGTAATGGTCCTGAGTCTAAGTGAGCAATGATTTGTTTGCTAAAATAAAATTGATTTGAAAATCCTATATGGTCCACCCCCGCGAAAATGGGGTGCAGTACAGTACGAAGTTTTGAGGACAGCAAGTGTATAAGTGTAGCCTACGACTACGAAGTAGCCGTGGCAAAACTTGTAATTAGTTTTATGTCAGTAACCAGCAACCAGCAGCCTTGAAATTGCTTGTATCATTCTTCGACTGCATCGAAGACACATACGATTTGTATGTGTTCTCGACGCATTCAACCTAAAAAAAGGTATGTACCAGAAATTGTAACCTGTCCAGACTACAATTTAGCCCGGCACAATAGCCCGCCTCATTTTACGCGTTTTAGATTGCATTTTCATAAGTATTCCTGACATGAAGTCGATAGTATTAATAGTGGAGGTCTACATACGTAAGCAATAATAAATTGACATAATATTATTAAGTGTACATGTATTTGAGGCTACATGTAGGTGAAGAAGCGTTGAAAGACCTAATTTAACAAATGTTTGCTTATCAATGAGTCCACGAGAGACTGGCATACCTAAATCTATGAAGACCTTTTCAGTATGATATGCCTGTGTGCCTCCACGTTAGACATGGAAGCGCACAGCGAAGTACACTCGCATTTCATGCTTCTCTAAGCCGGCATGCTTCCTCGCCTCTTTCATATGCGTGATATTGGCGCCTTATACAGACCTTTAAACACTTCAGAATCGCTGCTCTATCCATACCTGGTCCACTTAGGTAAGAAATATCTCCTCACTGTCAGGAGCTAGTTTCTCGAGAAGCGCCCCGTCTCGATTTTTCTTGACTTGATCGCTCCAGCGATGTTCGAAGTCTCTGACGAGTGTATACAGCTCGCAACTGATACGTCCATTCTTCCCGTGCGAGTTGGCACGGATGCTTTAGTGGAGTCTGAATAACACATAGGGCACCTTTGCTCGCGCCGTAAGCAGCACCGCACACCTTCACTATAGACTTTTGATGAACCTCAATTTTTGCTCTTCGATATTGTGCACGAAAAACGTTTCTCGGAGCTTGTCCTGTCTTTGAATCCACTCATTGATTTTGGATGCTATTCTCATCGGTTCCGCAAAGCTAGTCCACGATTAGACTAGTGCAGCAGGGCTAGATCTTTTACAAGGAGCATAAGACCCAGCCTTGTGCACCTCGTAGAATCGCTTCTGGAAGAATAGATCTACAAGATATGATTCTCGGATCTTGCCCGAAGGACACAGAACATGCCTCAATTTAGAGCAGTCATACAGTGCTGTTTGCGCTCCGCTCGGCTTGTATCCAATCATCCATGAATGGAAGTCGTCGAATCAGGGACAGTGTGTGTGCGTTAGCATGTGTTGCAAGTCATTTAGAGCGGCACGACTAGCGAGGACGGAGCTATCTGTAGCATCGGCTGCGTTTGAAACAGTGCTTGCAGCTTCCACCGATTCGAGATCACTCGATACATTTCCCGTGTTTGCGTTGATTGATCGTCCTTTCAACCTTGGTCGATGAAGCACTGGGTCGCGTCTTCCCTTGTTGTGATATTGTCATGGTATCTGCTTCGCTCTCTGTGTGCCGCTGGAGATACTGGTCCCAGCATGCATAAGGTGGGGGATGCGTCACGTCGATCTGCTCAAATTTCATCTCACTATGCCCCGCATCGTTTGTACGCGCCGCTTGGGCGAGTGTGCTACCGCCTTCTTGATCATTCATCTCATGTCATGTGAACCAGTGAAAGCAAATGAACGCGTTTTATTTCTTTCTCGGACGTTCATTTCGACCTCCATGCCAGGACGCCGAACGAATTCTTGGAGCGTCGAATGACACACGTCATGCCGTCATGAAATGGGTTTCCTTCACCTGATTTAATTGGGTATCCTGTAAATCATTAAAGAACCCAATTTTCGTCAAGTGGGGGTGTTTGCATTCTTTAATCGCTTTTCGATATGGTGCTAAGCTGGGTGTCATGAGCCCCGGAGCTCCCGTCCACTGGATTCTCACTTTTTACGGAGTAATTACGCCTTGATGTCGCCCATCCAATCATGGTTACATAGTGATAATCGACAAAATCCCCCCCATGAAAGAAAGCGGCTTCACGTTCACAACAATCTTCATTTATAAAAACGCATCGGAGGTGCCAGCGTGAAAAAGCAAAGAAAAAAACGAGAATAGCGAGGGCGTCTTAAATGGAGGGGGGGGGTGAAACCATAAATAGATCAGTTTTCGGTCACATGTCGTCTCCTAAAAAAATCCGCTGATCTGCGCAATCCGGCAACGCATCGAGTTGGTGAATCAAGAGTGATCTACGGTCGATTGGGGTCAGTTACTGTGTGCGGTGGCTGCCGGTGTCACTGCAGGTGGCTCGCTTGTGCGGAGGACTGGCATTGAGCGTATCCCTACATGCGATCGCTTTCGATGCTACTGGTGGTGTCTCGCTTGTGCGAAGAATTGAGTCGTTGAAATGCTGCAAGTTGCGCTGCGTGTGTCACTGTATGCGGCTGCAATTGATTTGTCATCTCTACGTTGGGTTGCGATGAAAGATCTAATTATCCTGAATGGCAGGTACTGTAGCCGTAACTCGATCTCGATTTTTGATTAGATGTAACGAATTTTCAAACGGATGTGTGTCTCAAGGAAACATGATGTCGAGAAATGCCATGCCGAAGTACGTGCCTTAGCGTAGTACAGACAACGACGGAGAAATCCGACAGACACAAAAATCCGACAAGTGATTGTGAGCACATCTCTTTCCCATAGTAACTATTTTTGTATTTTTACCCTATCATATCTTTATACAAGAAGTTTTTAATCCGATTACGTACAAAAAAACTATGATTGGCCGTAGATAAAACACTTCTTGGGCGTCGGTAATTATCAAGTCATTTTGCGCAATGAAGCGCGTTATGCGAAGCTTCACAGTGAAGCAAAAGCGCGAGGCCTTGACGATCGCTAAATGTGAGGGTGTGAAGGCCGCCTCCGAAAAATTCAATATTGCGCGAGGAACTATCTACGATTGGCGCAAGCAAGAGGACGCAATACGCAATTTCAAGGGACACCACTCGTCAAAGACGTTAAAAGGTCAGAAACGCAAGGAAACTTTTCCTGGCGTCTCTAATCTCTTAACATACATGGAGGATATGCGCAGACTTGAGCAAGTAAGTCAATGTGAATGTGCTATTTGTGCTATTGTAGTGTTGAGCTAACTTTTCTTACATTAACATGTAGGTTTTATCGACTGCCGGCATGATTCAGTTTATGTGGCAAATTCATCCTGAGTGGATGACAATCTACATAAACGAAAAAGAAGCGTAAAAATATGTTTTGTGCAAATATTTAAAACTGTACTAATTGTTTACTTTAAATTTAAATTGTGCGCTACATAGCAACAAGTTTTCGTCACAAAAACCTCAAGCGGCTAAAAAATCATTTGAAGACCTCGAAGAGACCCGTGCAAGCTTTACCCTTGAGTTTTGGTCCAAGTATAGTCTTTCAGTGGCGGGGGCATTCTAAATGTCGATGAAACAGCCATACTGTTCGACATGCCGCCAATAAAGTCGTGGGCTGGCAAAGGGCGCAAGGACTCCGCGCGACTTTTGGGTGCGGAATAGCACGCCGGTCGAATGACCGCAGCTGTAACCATTCGCGATGACGGTATGTTATTTGTTTTTGCGGAAAAAAAAATTTAATTTGTATTTTTGCTAGCATATTTTTAATTTGTCGGGGATGAAAATGACTATTTTGTTTATCATCCATGGCGTCCCTGGTGGTCGCATCGAGAAAAATGAAATGGAGTAGTACCCTGACGACCACTTCTACGCCATGCAGGAGAACGCATGGATGGACACCAGTGTGTGAAAATTTTACGTAGAAAAACGTTTAAAGTTTGAAATAGATGGGCCCGCTGTTCTTCTGGCTGACAACTTTGAATGTCACGTTTCCGAACAAGGACAGCGGCTTGTGGCTGAAGAAGCCAATGCTACTTTTGTCCCACTACCCCCAAATAGCACTGCTGTGTGTTAGCCGCTAGATGTGGGGGTGATGGGACCATCAAAAGCAAAAATACGGAACCGCTGTGGTAGACGCACTGGTGGAACCGCTAAGGAAAAGCGCATCCGTGCTATAAAGTCTATTATTGCAGCTTGGGAAAAGCTAGAAAAGAAAACGATAATTCGTAGCTTCGAAAAGGCTATCCCGAGGTATCCGGAAGTAACCGTCTGAATATAATCCCTTTTTTTCATTCACATTTTTTTCTGTGCTGTTTCTGGTTTTTAGAGTGCGTTGTTAACCTATCAAATGAAGCGTCGGAATTTTGTGTCGGGCTCTGTGGTTTATCTTTTACTATGGTTGGATGCTATCCAGTGGTGTCGGATTTCTCCGTCGCTGTCTATAGGCATGAAAAGTGCTTGTTTTACCGTGAAATGCGCATTAAATGTCATTTGCCTTTTCTCCTTCCATCCCGTTTGCTCGCTAATTTTGTCGAAGCCGATTTGGAATTCCGGAGTATTATTTACTTCATATTAGTACGGATACTCATTTCTGGATTTACTGTGTGTGCGCAGCTCCTTCGGTAACGCAAGTGGCATTTACAATCAGCATGGGTTAGCTCTACAATTTGCGGCGTGCAGTACGAGGGGGCAGCTAAACGTGTTATCCTTACGACGGACAGCGCTCTTAAGTCAGTCGTGGTGCTCCTTGGTAGAAGCGAATATCTTTAGACATAGCATAACAAGGGCAATGCAACACACCCACAGTTTGTATCTTACCGCGGTATTCTCCGCATCCCCCTCTTACGTCCGAGATCGTCACGCTCATCATGTTTCGGAGTTGATATCCACAGTCTCTAAAGCGGTAGCGTTCGCGTAGATCAGCATAGCCCCGCGTCAAGCACTGACTTAATTTTACCTCTCCCTTGTAATATGGAAAAATCTACAGAAAAATGACTGCTGGGGTACTTAATTATGGAAAGGTCACTATTGTGCAGCACGTCCCACAAAACCGCAAGTGGTTGTTCTCACGAGCATGCGGTTTAGAGAGCGCCTTGTACTCACTGATGAAGGGCCCGTCCAGGACGGCAAAGGTATTGCGAGGGCCCTATTCACCGAAGTAAATAAATGGGGTCCACGGTTAACGAGTACAGGCACCTGGTGCCGCATCGTGGTGCACGGCAGAAGATGGATCACCGGTTTGGTCAGCAGGATGTATTGCAAGCCAGAGAACGGACAGTAGGACCTGTGACGGTGTGCACTGAGCCAGGCTCAGTACAAGCTATGCTTTTCCACTCATACTTACGGGCGAAGGATGGAGCAGACTCGAAATTGCGATGTACACACAGCCACTAATGATTATTCTTTGAGCCAGGTACAGCACGGATCCGACGAGTGGAGGCAAAACGTGATCAGCTCAAATAGGCTTCAATCACAACCGGAACGCCCGGAAAATGTAGCAAGAACTTCAAGTTTTGGGGGTCTTTAACGACTTCGGATTCTTCGTGTGGAATAATGATATGCCCAGGGCAAGACAAGCTAGGATAGCCGGGCTATTCGCAGCATTGTGCGCTTTAGAAGGGCACAACGAGACAAGGCGAGGAAATAAGTACCAGACTTTTGACGGAAAATGGCAGCGGTTGCATTCGCACACAAAGCCGTTCGGAGCGAAAGGCTCGATTACAATGATCCGGAATTTGAGTTGGTCGCTAAAGAATACAAACGGACCCAGGGTCAAGTGGATAGGGAGCTGCCAGTTACTACACCGATGCTGATCAAAATGCGGGAGCTCCTAGGGGAGCCGGACCTACAAGACAAAATGACGTGGGGATTCATCGTACTAGGGTTCTTCTTTCTCAGCAGTAGCTCGGAGATATGGGGGCCTATCAATGTCGATCGATAGACAGAATTGGATAGAGTCCATTGCGTAAAGGCTGCCAAAGTGGTACTGCGCGACAAGGACGGAATCGAGGTCGGCTCTGAGACACCAGGGGCCGTGTCAGTGGAGATGATACTCGCCTCTCATAAAGGAGATCGAGCTGCGCAAGGCACCACGATCCGACACTACTTATCCAACAACGATACGCTATGGCCAGTTGGAAGCTCGTGTGTGTCTCTACATCCGATCCCAATGGCTTTCCAAAAAAAAAGGTGGTGGGGCCATTCCTTACCTCAGCTTCGACAGCAGCTACGATCAAGAAGTCAAGCGTGAGCATCTAATTAAGGCGGCAGCGGTCGACCTAAGCCGAACCAGGAAGGATTACTCAGCCCACTCACTACGTATAGGGGAGCATGCGCACTCCTAGCAGCAGAAAAAGTGACCTGGTCATTCGCTTAATGGCAAGGTGGTCAAGTTGGTGCTTCACAGTGTACACCCGTCTCAGACCAGGAATGATCCGAGACGCGGCAAGTTCAATGATCAAGGCCTCGATGTGGGAATATCACGAAACAGACAGCGTCCCGCGTCAGATACCGTGCCAGCTCGGAGGGGAACTACAGCGAGTCTAACTCTCTAAAGCTAATCAAGCCAACTTGCCCCTAGCAGCGAAGGAAATACATTGTTTTTTTCTATGCTGGTATCTTTTATACCTCAAGAATATGACTGTCGCCAATCACATAAGGAGTACGGTACGCAGATTTCCAGATAATGATATTCCTATTGCAACCTTTCCATTAATTGTATTGATAAAAATAACCAGTCCCATTCGTCTCTATTTTTGGTCAAGCCGAGAACGCTGCTATCTTTGGCTCCTTCATCGCGTCTTGCTGCTCTCCGCTCACTTCCGAAGCACTCGCCACGTCGGCATGAACCCCAGCAATCCGTTCCAAGACCCTTCTGTGCTACGCGCACAGGCACCGCCCTCGCCTGGCATGAATTTTTCGACCATCTCGCCTCCCGAGCCCGTGTCAACTGTGGGCGGAGCCGCGCCGGCCTCGTACCAGGCGCCCGGTGCCCCGCGTCAAAATCTGATGGACGAGATCGGTGCTCAGATCAAGGCAACCAACAGTCAGACGATCATCAAGGTAATGCGCGTACTGAATCTGGTACTGGCCACGGCAACCATAGCGGTGGGAGTTCTCGCCTGGATCTTTGGCCAGGTGGACACGTTTCAAAGGGTCATTGCGGGCATCTACATCATGTAAGCATGAATAGTAGAAGCTCAGAGTTAGAAAGAGGATACTGACTCATGTATTGCAGTATGTTTGGAGCGCTGCTGCTAGCGTTTGAGCTGCGCACCGAGAAGGTGGACGTGATCCTGCGCAAGAACTTTGGCTTCATGTATGGCAACAAGACACGCACCGTCTTCCTCGTCTTGTACGTTCTTCTAAATGGCTGCTTTGTGTGAAGAGTCTTGTGAACTGACGTGTGTTGTTGCAGTATTGCGATCTGGCCGTTGTCGATGGGCAACTTCTGGCTGACGATTCTGGACGCCGTGCTGCTGTTCCTCAACGCCTTCTTCAACTACTTTGTCATCTCTCAGCACCCAGCATTCTCCACAGTGCCGCCCGTGTACGACCCCAATCAGGCACAGGCTGCATACGCGCCCACACCACACATGAATGTGTAAACAGACAAGCGATGGCTTAAGTCACGGTTGCAGCGCACCTAAGTTTTTATTTCCAAAGTATATTCCTCTTTATTCTATTTGGTCGAAGTATTTAAATGAGCTCTTGGTCAGTCTATTTCACAAATCCAGGTAGCTAATTCGGTCGACTTATTGTGCTACCTAAATCACCCATTCGCCCCTAAATTACTGCTAAGTCACCATTTTAGGACGACAATAAGGCAAAATAATGCAAGCGGGGCGCAGCAAGGAGGAGCGCAAGAAGGCTCGCTTAAACCGCCGGAAGATCGCGGCTAAAGCAGAGCGTGATGCGCTGGCTCGAGAGCAGGAGGCTGTGCGTGTGGCAGCTATCAGTCGCAGTCGCCTGCGTCGTCTGCCGCCGTGGCTGCCCACTTTGCCGTCCACCAACTCGGAAGATGTTGCTGTACTGCGAGATCTGAACGACGTCACGAGACCCGTAGCGTTACGCGTAGGCCAGGAGATGACGCGCTATTGCACCTACACGCAACGTGTGGTAGACGAAGCTCGGCAACACATTGACGCGGCAATTGCACACATCACGGAGGGCGTGCGCAAGATCTGGCCTCACGCTTCGGTCACGTGCTTCGGCTCGTATTCCACGGGCCTGTGGCTGCCATCCAGTGATGTTGACGTTGTGGTTATGGGTCTTTCTAACTCCGAGGACCGAGACGTCCCTACAAGATTCCTTCCGGATGGAGTAAAAGAGCTCGAGCAATTGGCGAGGCAACTGCGACCGCAGAAAAGTTGGGTGCAGCGTGTGGATGTCGTAAGGGGTGCCAAGGTCCCTGTGGCTAAAGTCATCTTACGTCGTGGCAGTCAGAAGGAAGGAGAGAACTCGGCGCTACTCCGAGTGGATGTATCGATCGAGAACGTTCAAACGAGCCACGGGATGGAGGCCAGCAAGCTCGTGCGCCAGTATGTGAGCGATCTGCCGAGGCTGAAGCCCGTGCTGATGGTATTGAGGCAGTTTTTGAGGGAAAAAGCTCTGAATAGCGCGTTTACCGGAGGGTTGAGCTCGTACGCGGTGACGCTTTTAGCGGTGTTTATGATGGAGATGCAACGGCATCAAGAGGACGACGAGGATTGTGCCGATGTATCGGAAGAAAACGAGGCGAGGAAACTCGGACAATTGCTGCTCGACTTCTTGGAGTATTACGGCACGGCGTTCGACTACTTCACCACGGGACTGTCGCTCAAACCAGAAGCGTTTGGCGCGTATCCGCTAGCAGCTCACTTGTCCATCGCCAACGGCTTGCCACTCATGCCACAACTCGTAATTGATGACCCAGTGTACAAGAACGGACAGCACAATGCTGCAGCTGGAGCGTTTGCTCTCGCTCGCGTGGTTGCAGCACTTGAAAATGGCTACTTTGCCTTGTGGTATCATCGGCCTACCCAGTTCACGCCAACGCCGTTGTGTCAATTGTTGCACTGGTCAGGCCACCGAGTGAGTGTTACAACCAAGCAGTAAGTTACGGGATCTCGTTAGAGTTACAGTATCTGCAGCCCCTAATCAACAAAATAGAAATAGGGATAGAAATGCTCTTCTAATTCTCTTCCGTTAAAACGCCGTCTTTCATGTCTAACTACTGATCTCCTCGGTAGCAGCACGTTGTTCCTCGAGAAGTTGTTGCTGACGCTCGATCTCTTCGTAATCGATGTTGGCCAGGACGTAGATGATGATCAGCGACACGACTGTCATCTTCAGGAGCTGACGAACGTCCTTGAACGTTAGAGCACGCATCGAAGCGATGAAGATCTTGGGCGCGAACACGAGCAGACAGAGCTGGTCCCACGCGAAAGCTCCGAGCACTTCAAGAGTAAGCAGTCCGGTCAGGATACGCGTGAAGCGCGGGTCCGGCATGGGCACAATCTGCAGCACCTTGTTGAACATGGGCATCCGCTCCGTGCACAGCAAGAAGACGCCGACGATACTGATGCCCAGCGAGTAGAGCAGCCCCGGGTTCTCCGTCATGGGCTTCATAAACGGTCGGCCCTTGTAGTTCACAGCACACACACTGACTGTCTGCACGCCGTTGATAAGGAAGATGACGGTACTCATGACGTTGGGTTGGAACTCGCCCGGCTTCGAGTGCGCGACGTCACCTTCAGGTGTGTACTCTTTAGCCAGGTTGGTGAGGTAGATCATACAGCCCAAGTGCAGCGCGAACTGGCCAGCGAGACTCACGAACAACGCGGGCTGGAAGATGGACGTCAGAGGACGCACGGGCGACAGCTTGTCGAGTGGAGTAGCACGACTCAGTGTGATACTAGCGACGGTCGAGATCATACCCAACGCCATCATCTGCGAGTTGGCCCACTTGACCTTGTCGAGATACAGCACGGAGAGCGAATACGAGCTGATGAGGCAGTTGACAGCCAAGATCTGGTACATTTGCATGGTCGTCACAAGAGCACAGCGACCCTGACGAATGATGTCGACGCAGCCCTTGATAGACGGAGCGCGCGAAGTGAAAGGCGAAGCGATCGACGCGTCTCCAAGCTTCACCATGGGCACTTCACCGTCGTCAAAGTCGTCCATGTACTGCGCCATCGCTGCGTTGTTGGCGAAGTTAGCAAAGCCCTTGGAGCCTGTACGTTCCATCTGCAGTTTCTTCTTCTCTTCGGCCTCACGCTTGGCAAACGCCGCGATTGCCTTCATCCGCGCGAACGATTCGCCACGAGCCTGACGGGCACGCACATCGGCCTCCAAATCTTCCTGTTTCCTTCTCATCTCAGCCATTTGTTCTTCCTTAGTAAGGACCTTGAGCTTCGGGTTCTTCTTCGCCAACGCCTGCTGTTTCTTCTTGATCGTCGCGATCGCTTTCTTCTTTTGCTCACTCAGAATCAGCTCCACATAGTCCTGCTTCACCTTGCACTGTGCCGTGTTCACATTCTGCTGCGCCAGACGCTTTTTCAACGCCGACACGTGCAGCTTCATCAGGTCTTCACGTGTGCTGACAGTCGCCACGTTGCCCTTCTGATACTTCGCCAATCCCGTCACACTCTTGTCAGCATTAGCTGATCCAAATCCACCCAACAACGCTACACCAATGTGAGCCTGCTTCAACGCACCCACGTCGTTACCACCGTCACCACACATAAGCGTGTGGTGGCCGTGAGTCTTCAGCAACGTCAGCACCTTCTCCTTGAGTTCCGGCGTCATGCGAGCGTACACACGAATGTGGTTCAAGTTCTTCCAGATCACGTCGTCCACTTCTCCCGCAGCAGCGAGCGTCTTGCCATTCACACACAAATCGTACTTCTTGACTAGGATCTTCAAGTCGCCACTCTTGTACGGCGCCAGCACCGAGTCATCGTCAGCACTTGTCCACTTGAGAGGGTCACTAGGCGACGAACTCTCGCTTAGAATCAGAGCTGGACGCGTGATAATGCCAACCTCCTTAGACACATGCACAGCCGTCAGTGTGGCATCTCCCGTGATCATCGAAACCTGGTGCGAGCTGTCCTTCAGCACCTTCAGGATATCGCCACTATCCTTACGAACCAGACACTGGAACACTGCAAAGCCAGCGAAATGTAGGTCGCTTTCGGCCCAAGAACGAGGCTGTTGGGCCACCTCAGCCTCCGACGGCCGCCCGTTAATGTCCTTGTACGCGAGCGCAAGCACACGCATTCCGCGACGCGCAAGACTCTGGTACGTGGGCCAGAACCACGCAGGAATAGCATCCGGACGCATCAGCTTGGCGACAGCCTCGGGGCTTCCCTTCACCAGCGATCGTACACGCACACCTTTGTCGCCCAAATGCACCTTTGCCACCACACTCATGCGCTGCAACTTGGACGCAAAGTGGTTACGGTGCATGATCTGCACGAACACATCCTTCTGATTGATTCCCTGGCCCCAGCGACGTTCGCTCGCACGCTCCAGGTCCTTCTTCGCTTGGCAATGACGAGTGGCAGCGTCGTACGAGAAGTCGATGGCTCGGATCGAAGCCTCTTCCACCGGATCGCCGACCATCTTGCCGTCAATCTGCACTAGCGACTGGCAACCAGCAAGAACCAGCGTGGCGTCCAAGTTCGCTGCAATCATCGGTACATGACCGAGGACATTGTCCTTGGGAGCAGCAGAAGTGGACGTCGTAGTGTCCTCACAGACCACACCAACAGCTGTAAGCTGGTCCGTCGTCAGCGTGCCGGTTTTATCGAACAGACAAATATCTACCTTGCCAGCCAACGAGATGCGGAACGGCTCGGTACAGAAGATCGACAGCTTCACCAAGTTCAGCAGCGCCGAGTTCACCGCCATCGCTGTCTGCATCGGCAGTTCAGCTGGGATCACACTAGTGATGATGAGCACACAACGCAGCAGCAGTTCGAACGTGATCTTCCCCTTCTGTGCAATACCGTGACGCAGCACGTAGCCCGACGACAGCAGAGCGAAGATTAGCAGCAAAAACGCCAAGCCATAGGCGTCCCACGAGCTTCCCGTGACTTTGCCGCTCGAGAACTCGATCATGCGCACCAGTTTACCCTGCGAGGAGCTAAAACCCGTACGCAGCACGTACGCCGTGCATCCCGCATCAGGAGCATGCGGGATTTTTTGAATAGCAGCGGTACTAGAGCCTTCGCTTGACGAACCCGCCTGCATCACGGTCGTTCCACCGAAAAGCACGTGTACCTTGTGTCCAGACTTCATGTCGAGCTGTTCCGCAAGGTCCTGGGGGCTCATTTTGGTGCCGATAGCCTCCTTCATCTGCGGCACACTTTCACCCGTCAGCGTAGCTTCATTCAGCACAGCAGAGCCGTCCAACAGCAAGCAGTCACATGGCACCATGTTGTCATGTTCGCCGTCCGTCTCACGCTTCACTGAAATAACATCACCGGGCACCAGCAGGTCGGAGCCCAGCTTCTTCCACGTTTTCTCGCGGTACACGTAGATCTCCCGCGCCTTGTTGCCCATACCACGTAACGTCTGCAGGTTCTTGAGACGACTCATTACCGTGACGCCCTCGAACATGAGGATCATAGCGAGCGTGAACAGCGAGTACTGCCAATACTCATCGAGCATGTAAAGACACACACTGAAGATCTGGAACACAGTAAGCGGCTCCAACAGCTGCTGCTTGAACATGTCGACGAAGTTTGGCTGAGGAATACTGAACTCGTTCTTGCCGTACAGGTCCAGCTGGGCCTCGATCTCACGCTCAGAGCTCAGACCACGAGACTCCAAGTAAAATTTCACTATTTCAGTAGTCGGCGCCTTCAGCTTACGAAACAAGACGCCTCCTTTGTCACCTGCTTCGTCTTCAGCGACGTACTTGTGCTTCTGGAACAGGAAATAGGGACGTCCAGCGGATGATCCATCGACGTGCTTGGGGCGGATGATCTCCACGATGCTGCTCTTGCCCTTGAAGGAGCGAGGCACCACCATCACAAACGTCGCATCGTCCAGAGAAGCCACGGGAGTGTACTTGATGAACGCCTTGACACGCACAGACCATATCTGGAATAGTAGCATGAGACCGTGGGTCATGACGGTGCCTAGAAGGTAGAGCAGAGGCACGATGCCAGGCAAGAAAGGGTTGGGAAGTGGAGGACCCTCTCTTTCCTGCTCCAACATGGCCGTGTAATTGATCGTGGGTGCGGCTGAAGCAGCTTCACGCACACTTCCCTGCGACAACATGGCGGCGGCCAGACCTCCGTCCTCCCCCGGGGTAGTGACGTCCACGGAGCCAGGGACGGCTAATCCTTGATCCTCTAACTCCCTTATGGCCTGAGCGTAAGGTTCGCCAGCAGTCAGGAAGCAATGGTACAGGGAGTTCGCGTAGAGAAACAGGAAGGGAATGTGCTCCAAGCCGTAGCCTAGATTCATAGGGTTCACGCGGCGTCTGTGCAGTGACAGCTTGCGGATGGACTTTCCCGTCCATTGCGGGGGCGCGTCGGGCTTCCCCATCGTCAGTTTTTCGCTCTCCTGATAAGATAAGTGCGGCACAAGATGTGAGTCGATCAGTTGAATTTAAAGTTTATTTGTGGGGCTTCTAGCGCGCGTTAGGAGGTGAAAGTTGCTGGTATCAAAGCCCCTGCTTGAGAAGAATAAGCTGCAGCAGCTTAGAAAATAATGCGAGGCCTATGACTCGTACCTGACGTTGACGGGCGACCCGCTTCACCTGCACAAGTCGAATGCGGAAATGCGCACACTCCACACGTGGCTGACACCAAATGTCACTCCTCCGGATTGTGACATTAAAAACCTGTTAAATCCGATACACCAGAACTTCAAGATGTAAAGCCACCAGAATCGGATCTTTCGTATCGAGCGCAGATGGAAGAGGTTCTCACTGCCGTATCGGTTGTGTGTCGCTCGTATGAGCAAATTATGGCGCTGAATCATGTAGTGCGGCAGCTCTCGGCCTACCTTGACACGTCTGCTCGCTGGACGATGCTCCAGGCTGTCAGACACAACTTCGTGCACCTCGTGCAGCGTCTTCTTCGAAATGATACTGGCCACTATTTATCCCGATTATCTACGATTCGAAGCGCTTTTCGAGTGGGAGTAGGCAGTGGACAAGCAGAGATGCTGCGCGTGCTGACAGATTGGTACCCGCAGGCAGCTCTGGACGAAGTCGCGGTTCAGCGAGCGGCGATGAATGGGCGCTTGGATACGCTCCGGTGGATGCATAATAAGATGAAAACCTTTTGTAACGGACTAGAAGAGTCGTGTAAAGTGTTATACTCTTCCGTTACAATTGCGTTAGCGGCGGGTGAAGGTCATCTGGAAGTAGTGAAGTGGCTAGTAGAGGCGAGAGGAGGAGAGTGCTCGGCTGCCCCACTGCATCAAGCAGCAAGATGTGGACAGTTGGAAGTAGTCGAGTGGCTGTACGATCACTCTGGGTGTATTATTCTGCCTCGTGCGATGGATGAGGCTGCAGCCTGTGGATATCTTGACGTGGTGCGATTCTTACATGAAAGAGGAGGACGGGACGGTGGCAATAGTAAATGCACGACCATGGCCATGACGGGCGCTGCTGTCAACGGCCACCTGGACGTCGTTAAGTGGCTCCATGAGAACAGAGACGAAGGGTGCACTACTGATGCTCTCGACGGCGCGGCACGTAATGGACACTTGGAGCTGGTTCAGTGGTTGCACGAGCACAGGAGTGAAGGATGCTCGACCCAAGCGATGAATGGAGCGGCTAGAGGAGGTCACCTACGTATTGTAAAGTTCTTACATGAACATCGTAGTGAAGGCTGTACATACAACGCCATGAATTGGGCCGCTTTCGAGAACCACCTGGCTGTCGTACAGTTCTTACATGAAAATCGCACCGAAGGCTGCTCTCGACACGCGATCAACGAAGCAGCAAAGCGCGGTCATCTAGCCATGGTCCAATGGCTCCATTCGAACCGTTCCGAGGGGTGCAACCGAATGGCCATGGATGACGCTGCTACTCTGTCTCACCTTGATGTTGTTAGCTTTCTGCATTTTCATCGACTCGAAGGGTGCACAGTCGCTGCAATGGACGGAGCTGCAGAGCACAATCGACTAGATATTGTGCAATGGCTACATGAAAACCGAGATGAAGGCTGTTCAATGCGAGCGATGGACCGCGCCGCGCGGAATGGCCATCTACGAATGGTCCAGTGGCTTCATGAACACCGAGCAGAAGGCTGCACTACCGACGCAATGGGCGGCGCTGCTGAAGGAGGACATGTTGAAGTTGTCAAGTTCTTACACGCAAATCGTGCTGAAGGGTGTACGACGCACGCGATGGACGCAGCGGCAAGGAATGGGCATCTCGCTACAGTGAGATGGCTACATGAGAACCGCACGGAAGGGTGCACGGCAACAGCCTTGGACGGCGCGGCAGCTAACGGGCACTTGGATGTGGTGCAATTCCTTCACAATAATCGCACTGATAAGTGTACAGCACGAGCGATGGACACGGCAGCAGGTCGAGGTGACATTGTTATGCTGAAATGGCTTCGCAAGAACCCACATGCAGAGTGCAGCGCTCATGCGTCTCTTTTTGCTGTTGCGCACGACCACGTGGAAGTATTGCACTGGCTTCGACAGCATTATTCTAGCTCATTGGCCCGTAGCGAAGATCTCTACAGCACAGCCCAGTATTATGGTCGCGTGCACGTTCAAGCGTATCTCCTCGACCTGTGGACTCCTGGAAGTTAGTGCGCATACATGGCATTTGATTCCTTACCGGAAAGTGTAAGTTGATAGTTTGTACAGAGAGTAGTGGTTTACATAAATGAAGCTATGAGTACTTCAATCTACTTAGAGCAATGAAAAATATATACGCAAAAGAAACAAGCTGCGAAGTAAGAGCGGTTAGAGCTGCAGGGGCGCGTGCGGCAGGTTCATGTCCACGCCGTCAAACATGGGGTCAGTGGCTAGATGAAAGAGGAACTCGAAGTCCACGTCAAAGAGTGGGGATTGTCCGTATGGAGGCATGTTGTCCGTGAATGGCTCGGGAAGCACACAGATGTTAGCTTCAACTTGCATACCGCCAGTCGCGCCAGCTGGCGCCATTGACATGGGCGACACCATCACGGACAGCACTTTGTCAGGCTCGGTCGGCTTAACGTCAGGTGCTGCCGTACGACGCTGTAGTCGTTGTCTATACTTCTGTGCGTGCGTCATGACTTGGCGCGGCGTGCGGGTGCCGATATGCTGAGCAACGCGCTTCCACGGGCCGGATGGGTACAAATCCAGGGCCTCGAGGAATAAGCCATGCTCCTCAACCGTCCACGTGCCAAGCGCAATTGGAGACGCTGGTGATGCCTTTGTCTGCCGTGGTGCAGCATGCCGCATTTGCTCGATGCGGATCACTTGCAGTCGGTTCGTCTTCTGGAATAGCTGACGACGAGTTGACTCTGTGATGGTCATAGCTAGCAGTGAGTGCGAGGCTGAGGTTAGCGCTTGTGTCGGAAGCGAACGCGGCAAGTGACCGAGTGGCAGTTGAGGCGGGGCTGGAGAAGTGTTTCCGACCGCGCAAATTGCCGAATGACCAGCATTTTGAGGTCGCGCTCTTGTTGAAGTGGGATCGTCTCCGCATATACGATTCAGTATGCCTCTCGAGATCCGTGTGAGTTATCCGCCACGCGCGCCTTGTTATTCGGACAGTGGAGCCCGTGGTTGTGAAAGTATCGTTAGGGCCGGCGCTTGCGTCCGAACAATATGTCGCTTTCGAAGAAATGGCTGTAGGACGTCCGCCAAGACCACAATATAGTTGCAGGCGATTTCCATCAGCGCAAAGATCGTCGAACAATTGCACGATTCCAGTAATGCTGAAACGATGTGCAAGAATGACTCGCAAGCGTTTTTGACTCGCAAGCCTATTTCGGACCCGAGTTGTCATTGGGATCAGATCGAGCCGCGCCTGTTCCTCTTTGACTCGCTACGTTTCTCTACATATTTACTTGGCCCTTCGACACTAGCTAACTCTGTTTTTGAGACGCGATTGCACCGCTATGGCCGATGTGGTGGGATCGGACACGCGCCATTCTGCATCAACTCACAAACCGCAGCGTCAACACATGACCAACCACGACAATGATCGCATCACGTACGCCAAAACATGGGCGGAAGATGTGCAAAACTACCGCGTACGTACGACTACTAGACTTGGATTTTGGTGATCGTTTCAAGGAAACTGATTCAGTTCTGTGGTGGTCGGTCGTTTGTAGGCAGCAAAATCTGTTTTGCCTTGGCAACCGGGGCAGCAGCAACCTGTAAAGTACGTGACGCGCTACGAGAAATCACGCGAGGAACGCGAATACGATGCTCTTCTTGGACGCTTCCGGAGCGAAGACAAGGAAATGGGGCTCCAGCAACGTGAGAGCACGGAACTCAAACGCAACCTTGAGAAAGGACGGGTATAAAACATGTTTAATGGTATTTTGCCTGGTCTAACAAGATTTTAACCATCACCTGTACTTGCCTCTGGTGTTGTTGTTTCTATCTTCTAGGCGAAGCAGCTCCGAACGATTCAGCGCTTTAACATGATCAGCAACGAGCCAATGTACCCTGGAGCTAAGGACCCAACGGACAAGCAACCGGTGGCACATCCGAATCGGAAAAACAGCGCTGCCGACTACAACATCGTTACAAATTTTCCACACAACGGAACAAGTGCTTCTCCACCAGCCACTGGCAGCTCACCTTCTCATAAACCTCACCGGGAGTTCAACATCCTGACTAATAAGTGCGTATATGGATTCGGTATCGTCGTTTGAATTTTTGGGCTAAGGTTACGACTTGAACTTAGGTACTTTGACCGTCACGACGCCCGATTCAACAAAGAAGCCGCAGAAGCCAAACGGATAGCCGCTCAAAAGTACTTCAAGACGCGGACATTCGACCCGATTCGCATCACGTTCCTCGACGAAGAACGCGAAAAGGAATTTCTCAAGCGCAGACAAGAGCAGCAACAAGTTCACGGCAAAGATCGGGTGCTAGTACTGCCACCACGCGAGCAGTTCTCTGAAGGGCGCGTGTACAACATCCTGAACCAGCAAGTCATCAATCCGAATAAGCTGACCACCATAAACAATAAGGATCAGCGTACACTGAATAAGATCAAGAAGACGGCGTTCGAAACGAAGATGCGCGAGGTTGGCGAGACTCAACGAGCTCGAGACACGGACCTTCAACTCAATCGTTTCGCCCACGAACGCCACACCGAGAGCCACGCTCATGGCTATGATGTGCTCTCCAATCAGCCCTATGCGGGTCGAGACGCCAAGCCTCTTGCTCATCCAAGAACACACGCAGCCTTGACACCCTGGCAAACCATTGAAAGCGGCCTGCTTGTCAGCAATCGAGTCGCATCAATAGCTCCGTCGACTTCTCATGTTCGTTGCGATAATCAAACTGACGCGGCAAAGACGAACATTCTCATAGTCGAGAAGAGTCCTGGTACAGCTCAGGTGCAGTCAGCCAGCTCTTATGTGGACACCTCTGGCTCCGAAGATACTAACGGCTTGTTCGTCTGGTTTGTTCTTTTGCAGGGTTTGGGACAGTCTCCGTCTACTTCAACGCAAGGTCGTATTCGAACGGGTGGGTTTGGAGGTGAGCAACTCGGATAGAATACTTTTAAACTACTTGGTAAGGATAATTATTCAGCTTAGGATAAAATAAAATCATTGTACACATAACTACGACGTCATTGTCCACGGAACTCTTCGTCGTTTTCTGCTGTCCGTGAAGTGTGAAGGGATCGAGGCTTTCTTATACCTTGAGTCCATGGAATGACCAGACCTCGACAGTCTCACAACGGAAGCTCTGGTAGTCGACCAAAGGAGGCGAGTCGAACGTCGTACAAGCATGCGTGAAGCCACGTCGATCGTCCAGTTGGAGACACAACGCGATGCCCTTATTGCCTCCACCGACAAAGATGGCATCACGTTGCGTGTACATGAACGAGCTGTCAATACCCGACCACATGTACGCCTTCATCTGCGAGCTCAGAGAGAAGACGAACGTCCTTCCGTTGCCAAAAAACGTCTTCGAGCGCTTCCACGACGCCGGACAGAACGCACCGAAGATGTTCTCGTTCTCGTCCTGAATCACCAAGATCGTCGGTCCTTTGTTCTGTAGTCGATCGAAGAAGCTCAGGAAGCTCCAGCCGTGCACGCGAGTGGAGTACATGAGCTCCATCTGATTGCACGTGAGATAATTGGGTAAATTCTTCCACAAAAACTGCATGTGCTTCTCAGTCAGAAACGCCGACTTGTGTCCAACTAATGGTCTTCCTCCGTTTGGACCTTCACTTCCAGCCCACAACTTGAATTGGTCCAGCGCTCCGATTTTCGCGGCGAAGGCTTTGAGCTCTCTCAATCGCTCCTCGTTCTTGCTGACAGGAGTCGAAGGTTTCTTCGGCGACAAGTCTGCTGTTTCCGGTTCAATGAAACTCTGCGAGACGAGTGTCCCGGGCTGGATATTTCTCTTGGGTTCATATTTCGGAGCTTTCTTCTTGTACTCTGGTGTCGGAGGGAACATAGCGCGTGCAATAGACTCCGACGAGAGCTCCTTCCTCTTGTTTTGGAAGAATGTAGCCAAGTATTTACGGTACGCCACAGGACGACGGAAACGTAGTGTGACTGGAGCTTGCAGCTCAGCGATGGCATCGATAACGTCGTCGGACGGGAGACGTGACATGGACGAGTAGCCATTGACAGCCATGATCACGTCCCCCACTTGGACTGAGGGTGCGTGGAGTTTGGGATCGTACACTTCCACTGACCCATAGAGTCTGGTGGACGGCGCTAGCGATAGATGCAGAGGAGTCTCGTGAAAGGTGACGTCGAACTCTCCCAGTTCGGACATGGTAGGGCCCACTTCCTTGTCTTCTAGACCACTCACAGCAGTGTCGATCTCCCGGATCTCTAACGCTCCTGCGATCCCAGCGGGAGGGGCTTCATGGATAGTGTCCATGTCCTTTCTAACCAGCGCTTGGGCTAGTTGTCGAGACTTCTCATTCTTGGCTGCCTTGGCGTTAAGAGCCAAGTCGTGCTCCAGTGAGCGTCGCCATTGCATGGACGAGGCTCTCGCCACTACTTTGTTGGAGTAGCCGTGGAGATGGTAGTCCACGGAGGTTGGGTACATGGCTGTGGACATGGCTCGGGAGTCAAAAGACCCATAAGTTTCTGGGTTTCTCAACGTCATGACGATGGGACACGAGGTTTTTCGGAGGTACGCGGCCAATTCGGCCCGCGGTAGCTGTGCCTTTTGGCAGCTGAAGTTAACGGCGATGAGTACGTCGCCCTTGGTGATGCCCAGCGTGTCGACAGTTGCGTTGTTGTCCTCCGACTCCTGCACGGAGCTCACTTCCCACGAGCCGTAGAGCTGCGAGCTGGGTACGAGCCCCACACCCAGCGGCTTGCGACGGAAACAAACGTTGTACTCGCCCTCGAAGGTCTTGGGGACGTACATGGGCTCGCTCGGCGACGCGTTCACGTCCCAGCTGCGGCGTCTGGCGTCGTCATCTCGCGGTTTGGATCGAGCGGGCGTGGGCTCGTCGAAGATGGCGCGTACGAGGCGGCGTACGCTAAACATTTTGGAGGCGAATCTCTCGAAGGATTAATGATGATGCAGGTCCTGTTTACGGAGACTTCACTTGAGCTTTGGGGTTCTTTCTTGGTAATGAGCGGACACGTTGCACCTGATAAGTGACGTATTTTGTGTCGGTTGAAGAAACGAATTAAATAGGTCCTAGATGATTTAGCCAATCAGAGTAAAAAGGGTTTTAATTTTAAGAACGAGGTTGATTGCATTTCAGACTGAAGAGCGTCCCGTCAGCAAATGATGCCTTCATTTAATCACCTCACGTCCCATCAACAGGAAGCCAATGGGAAGCAACTGACTAATGCGAATGAGCTGTACATGGTATTGCCAGCACTTAAGTGTATTCACATTGCTCCTTACTCCATGTAATCCTCTTTCATAGTCATCTGAGAAAAAAAATAATTTGAGTGGCGCAACGTATCGAATTTTTAGAAGGCCATGCGTCGCTGGAGTGAAGCACGTGCCCGACAGAAACTCCATCCATACAGGCGATCGGTAACTACGGAAACTATAAAGGACCCACAAGAAACCATCGAGACGTCAAGTTTCGGTCGCAATGCATGAGCTGTAAGCGCCGTTTTGCTTTGAACTCGTCTGCGTATACTAGCGTTATTACATGTACATTTCGTTTGTTTTAATAAACAGTGTTTATATTAATGTTAAAACATGTTAACTCGGTCTCCTTCGATTTATAAGAGGTCTTATAAGACCTACCTATCCGCTCTATTTTTATTAATCCATGTTGAACATGATACGCCGGATACGCCGGCGAGTCACCACTCGCCGGAAATCGCAACGCGGTGATCGTGCCGACTAACGGTAGTGCTCCACGCCAAGAAGGCTTTACAGTACGTGCTTTGGATGCCGCTGCTGCCAAAGGAGACTTCAGAATGCTGGCTCAGAGATCAAGCGAACGGTTGACATGAATAATTGTTGCAGCTTTGTGCTCGACTTGCGAGCCTTCTACTAACTAAAAAGTGCTTAACTTTAACGTTATATCTTGCCCACTGTCGCTTTGAGATGTTGTGGTTTCTGTCCGCACGATAAGGCGGCTTGAAGTACTGCGCGGTTTACTGACTGGTATTGTCGATCCAAGACGTCGATGAGCTGCGCACAATAAAGGCACAGCCCAGCCAGCACGCATAAAATGATACAAATGATCAAAGTCGCTCAAAATATAGCAAACATTGTGCTCCAGGTACTTTTGCAGCATGCATCAACTCAAAACACCTGAGCACAAGTCATGATTATCACTTATACCGGTATTGAATATGATCAAGCTTCAACCGTCCAGTAGCCATCGAGATATGCCATGATATGCGCCCGATTGAGCAAAAAATTCTGTGCGAGATCGTAAAGCACTTTACGGTGTGGTTTAGGTGCAGCAAAGTGTTTTAGCAGCCAGTGCAGTACTTCAACGCGATCACTCGTGACTGCCGTGCGTCCTGCGTCTATCGGCCATTCCTCAATGTCTTGGCGACACTCTAAGCGAAGCCATTCCAGCACCACAAAGTCCCCTCTGGCAGCAGCCCCGTCTAAAGTACGCGCAGTACAGCCTTCCTGAAGATGTGCCTGTAAAAAGCGCATAACCTCTAGATAGCCTCTTCTGGCGGCGTAGGCCATTGCGTTTGAGCTGCAGCCTTCCTGACGATTATAGTGCAGCCAACGCACCACCTCCAAGTGCCCATTTCCTGCAGCTCTATCCATTGCAACGTAAGTACATCCTTCAGTACGATTTGCGTGAAGGTACTTAACAATGTCAAAGTGTCCATTCTCCGCCGCTCCATCCATAGCACTCGTCGAACATCCCTCAACTCGATTCGAATCCAGCCACTTCACCATTCCCAAATGCCCGTTTCGAGCTGCTGCATCCATCGCTCGCCACGAACATCCTTCACTGCGGTTATGGTGGAGCCACTGGACGATATCGAGGTGATTGTTCTCCGCTGCGCCGTCCATTGCTGCTGTGGTGCATCCCTCGGACCGGTTGCTATGCAGGAATTGCACTATATCAAGATGCCCGTGGGTCGCAGCAGCGTTCATAGCTGCAACGGTGCAGCCCTCAGTCCGGTTGTCATGTAGCCATTTGAGCATTTCGAAGTGTCCGCGCTTCGCTACTTCGTTCATTGTAAGACGTGAGCACCCTTCGCAACGGTTAGCATGCAGCCACTGAACAATCTCGAGATGATTTTCCTGAGCTGCCCAGTCCATCGCGTTATACGTGCAGCCTTCAGTACGATTCTCATGGAGGAACTGCACAACATCCAAGTGTCCTCCTTTTGCAGCCATGTTCATCGCTTGCTGCGTGCAACCTTCCGTTCTGTTGTCATTCAGCCATATCACAGCTGCCAAATGTCCATTCCACGCTGCTTTATTCATCGCATCCATTGTACACCCTTCATCGCGGTACTCATGAAGCCATTTGACCGTTTCCACGTGGCCATTACTCGCCGCACCGTTCATCGCTTTCGAAGTCGCGGGGCAACTCACTCGGTTACTCTCAAGCTTCGCCTCCTCCCACTCAGTATGTAAGAACTCAACCACGTCCAAGAATCCACCCGCTGCTGCTTCATCCAGACCTTGAGACTCAATATCTTCCGCTAAATTCGTTCGTAGCCACTTGACAACTTCTAAGTGACCTCCTCTCGCCGCGGCTTGGTGCAGATGCGTCTCCGTCAAAACACCGGCATCCTGAGCATCCAAGAGCCACTGCACTACCGTTAAGTGCCCGTTCTCCGCAGCTGCAGCCACGCTTTTCTGTGAGTAAAAATTGTACTCTTCATAGCAAGGCAGCACCTTGAGGAGTCTCGGACGAAGCCAGCGCAGTACGTCCGCATGGCCGTTGGACGCTGCCCGCAGAACTAGAGTCTCGTCGATCACTGCCTGCGGGTAGTGACTCAATAAGATCTCTATGATAGTCAAATAACCGTTCGCTGCTGCGTTCCGCACTGCAGCGCGAATTTCTGCAATTTCATTGAGATTGGACGTGTTCAAAGTGGTCAGCCACCGTCGTACGAGGTGGACGAAGCCCCGTTCGGCAGCACAAGGTAGCGACCAGCTCGGAGACACGTCAATGAACTGAGACACGAGTTGCTGGACGTGCAATAGCGCGTTGACGCGCGGTTGAGCCAGGAATACCACACGCGCAGTCGTTAGCGTCGGCATTGAGTTCATATTTTCTGGGGGGTTCAACATGGAAATTTTACTGTTTCGGACAGCATTTCTAAGTTAAAATCAAAATGTGATTTGAGGAATATCACTCGGACGTTATCATACGGCGCATGCTTGTTATTGTACTCTTCATAATTCGTGACACCAGGGTTTTTTAATCGGAAATGCTATCGTCCATGCGGTATTGTTCAGGTTGTAAAATAACCGATCCGTAATTTATAACGAGTGATATCCATTATTATACATGTACAGTCCATGTTTCCACTCGGTACTTATTTTAACCGATTTACCGGTATTTTGAATGCACTCACTTTACTTTTGATCAGACGCGGACCATCTGACACCTTTGCCGCCTTACGCCCCCCCCCGCTCCAACATGTCGGATAGCAAGTCTGAACCCCCCCCCCCATTGGACCCTCCAGCGCCCGATTCACTGCCGATGCCGCCCTCGCCGGCCTCACAAAGCGCTATTAACAGCCAGAGGTGCGTCGCGTAAGCAACTGTCTTTCCGTATGTCCGTGTTGCTAACTACGTGTCTTGAACAGGCTAGCTCAAGAGAAGAGGCGTCGGATGCTGCTACTCCCGCTCCTACGAGCTCTGCAGGAAGCTCTGAGGACTCCGACGACTCAGGTATGGACAATGAGGAACGTCCATGAAGCGTCCAGATTTTAGAGCGTCCTGTGCCTGTTTGTGCCCCGGAAGCCATTCACTCAAGTTGGGATGATTGGGCGGTGTATTTGAAGAAGTACGCGTCTTCAACACGACAGATCATTCGAGTTTCCATGACTTTAAGCTGCGCCTTGCGGAACAAGCGTTTGGCAAAAACTGTGGCCGCACGGGAAGGTCTCGACGTACCATATGTGCCAACAGAAGGGTCAACGTACCAGCGCACCTACATTTGTACCCACGGATGGAGGCCGAAGGATCGGAGTACTTGTGTGCGGCCGAAGCAGTTTGTTCTTGGCACTGGTTGTCCTTTTCGGTTCGTGATTCAAGTCGTCGATGAGGAAGGCCAGTGGCTCCTCCGTGTTAAGAACGGTATTTACCACCACAACCACATTGTTGGTACCGCTCACTTCAAAACATACGCCGAGAACCGAAAGGTGGAGGATTTGGAGACCAGGTCCACCATGCACGAAATGGTAAAACACGGCCGCAAGCGTGCTCGTATTTACGAATACCTGATCGATAGAGGGGAAAGTCTTGTTAAGAAAGACGTGGATAACAACATTCTCCAGCGTTTCAAGAGCGAATTTCGAGGCGGGCTCAGCGACGACGATGCCTGCACACAAGCACTTACCGAATTCGCAGCAGTGGATGGTAACGTGGTTAGTCTAGTACAGCTTGCACACGGCCTCCAAGAGGAGAAACTGACACTACAGGAAACTCTAGACCGCGTAGATCCGATTCCGATAAAGTGGGAGAGAGCAAGCAAAAAAAACGAAGTATGTCCGACAGAGCGATCCTGTGCTGAGCGACAACGCGTTTTATCTTCTGCCGAGGAAGCTACTGAACAAGTGCGTCGCCGTCCTTCCTGCGACGAACACGAGAGAGACCGCTATCGAGGTCTTTACCCAGAGTCAACCCACACAAGACGATAAAGCTGATACGCAATTGCCTGCACAAAACCTGGAGAATCATGGACAAAATGTGGAAATAGAATGTGTTCAAATCTCAGGCATTGGAATCTTTTCACGAACTCACATTGAGGCAATGTGTTATCTTTCAAACATGAAGAAACAATGCGAGCAGGGCATCAAGGTTTGCACGTGGCTGCTGCAAAACGTGATAAGCACCATGCCTTCAGCGCAACATTCTGCATTGGAAGACATGGCGAACCAAGTGGCGAAGTCGAACCCACACAGCAAGATCGTGATCGAGGCCAATAAATATCACTACGCGATGCACCGCTTAAAGCCACCTTCTTGGGCAAACGATGCACTGATCCATGCTTTCTGCTCGAGAGTGTGTGCGGAAAACCCTTCCGCTCGTGTTGTTGGCATCGAGAACGCGGTGACGGGACGACATACGAAGAGCATGAAAGAATCTCTCAAGACAAAGGCGCAAGAGCTGGCGGGGGGCACAGACCTCCTTCTGATCCCGGTTAACTTGGAAATTCGCACTGGTGCGGGATTGCGGTAGATGTGAAGCGAACTCGAGTCCTTTATTACGACTCCATGAACCTGAAGATTTACAAGACTGTGCTGGATCGACTATCCTGGGATCTGGCAGAAGCCTTGAGCGACAAATCCGAAGTTGTATGTATCAACGCGCCAATTCAGACAGACGGTCACAATTGTGGTTTCTACGTAATGCTACGATTCTGGCGAATGGTGGACAGCAGCATTGGTCTGGATGTAACTCCAAACGGACTCGCGATATTGCGCTTTCGCATCCTTCAGTTAGTTCTCCACGGTAGTTCTAACTAACACATCTGATATGAGTCAATACACGGATGGTGTTTGGTCAATGCATGGACTCGATATATGGACTATAACACCAACTTTACATGTGTTCATGCCTAATGCACGGGCGATTTATGGATTATACATGTACTCAATACATGGACTACAAAAGTAACATTGATATTCAGCACAACTTTGTGCAGAAGAGGACTGAACAGCAGTAATGACTTAATTTCATTATGAAAATAAATTACGCAGTAGGTAATTTATGGACAATACTTGGAGTGGCCGCATGCTCAAAACATACACTCGGCGCATGGACAGGAGCATCGGCCCTTTTTAATCACTCATAATGGCTTCGACAGTGCTGAAAATAAAAAGATGGTGGGAAAATGTAGTTCTCGAGCCCAAGATAGATGTTAATGGCAAAAACTGCGCGATAATAGTGTCAATACTACAGGTACTACCTAAGAATCTTCAACGGTAGTGCAAAATACGCAAAAATGGTCAGAATTACGCAAGTACAAGAAATCGATCTCCAACGGTGTAGTCATAGGGACCAAACAGTAACAGTAAAGTAACAATGCTGTAGTGACTGTGCACTGCGAGGATTTCGTAGTGAATAGCAGCCTTTTATTCACTACAGCTAGTGAGCTAGTGCTAAAAAGGAAACAGCTCAGATGTAGCGGGGTACATAGCCCTAAGTGTACCCCTGGTTACATGAAGTGTGACACGTCATACTCTGGGATATTTGGTACAAGGTACCAAGGTCGTCCAAAGCCAACCATTGGCTGGTGACATTGCATTTCTATAGGTGACTTATAGTTTGTATAAAACCCAAGCTTTATCTACCTATAAATATATCAGTTTACATTCTACCTTAAATAGGTCACTTCGCTTTTTTTTTATAAAGAGGGGACCTGTGAACTGCCGTTCACTAAAAGTTTGTATACTCTCGGAAGCTAACTTCCTCTAGCGCAAGGTGCTGTCTGACCCCGTCACATCAGCCGACCCCATCAAGCAAACGTCGTACCACCCGGGAGCTCGCGTCGGTCCCTCAAGAAGAGTTTTGCCGTCACTGGTGTTGTGAGCTACGGTTCTTCTGCCTTGCCTTGCCCAACGCAGCGCCATGTACGCAGGAAGAGAACGTATATATATGTAGCGCGTTTACAAGCACTTCCGAAGACGGGCTAACGGGAACGGACCAGTCGTCTTCATTTTTCTGGGACCGAGTTAGCGAAGCATTTGAGCAGCTCTCGGGCCTGTTAACCCCTTTAAGAAAACCTAGCGCTCTACAAAGTCGATGGTCTGCGCTAATAAGGCCAGACGTCAGTCATTACGCTTCTGTTTGCCATCGGTAAGAATGTTTATGTAGTTTTCTTGTTTATGACGAGAAAATGGTCTCTGTCGAGATTTTTAGCACTCCGACCAGGACGTGAACAACCATTACTCTTTCTTCGTGATCGTCAGCGGCGCAAGTAGTGCCTTACGTTGACATAAGAAGGCAGAGCTGTCGTCGTGACCGAGATCATCTTGGGCCGTGAATAGATAAATTTGTTAATAGTGGTAATTTTGCACTAGGCATACTCCGCTGGGGATAGCCCGTAAAATGGTTCGTAGGAGCACATAAATGTCGTTTCTATAAAATTAGCGAACGGCATTACGACAATCACTTTGCACTATCCGTTTCGCATTTTCCACTACCGTTGGAGATGCTCTAATACTTTTATCAAGCATGCGCCGTATGACAACGTCAGAGTAATATTTCTTAAATCACATTTATTATAAGTTCAACGTCAATTTGTGGGTATAAAGCTAATACTGTAACCTGTCGTGCATGTCGTCTCCCAGACTGGGAGACGACATGGAAGTCCCAGTACTACGGCTGTTAACGTTTAGGGCCCCAACGTTTTAAACTGCCTAACTGCTTAGTCTGTGCTTAAAATTAGGAAAGCGTTCTAAGCCTGGAAGGTTTAGTCGACATAAAGCACTTACTTTAATAAGACCATTCTAAAGCTAGATCAATGATCTTCTCAGTCGTACGGTGGACACACCGGCTCACTTAAATTTCCGAAAGATGAACGAGAACAGGCTACCCGACCTTGTAAGATCTTACAGCACACCAGGGCGTCGCAGTGTATAATGCATCTTCGTTCAGACCCCCAACAACTTCCATGGTGATGCAGATCTACGCTCCGAAGCTCGACGCCAGAGTAGTGCAACCGAGATCCTCCCAGCTGCAAGCTACACCACCCTAGTGTCAACGCCATCGCACACACATGAAAGTGCGACGGAAGTGCCGAGAATAACGCGATCAGGCCGTCAGTGCAAGCAGCGTCAAACTTACAGTCTTCTCCAAGAGAGACTTGAGCACATAAACGCATGAAAGTGCAGCAAGCTCAGTCAAGTACTAACTGCCAAGTAACGGCGACATCTACTCGTGTCGGTGTGAGACGTACACCACAGAGTGGTCGTCATAAAGCGCATGGTTGAGTTTCATCGAGAGCGGCACAAAGACACAATAGGAAGACCGACTTCTTGGAGAAGGCACCTCCCCACCTGATTGACACTAAGCGCAGCAGTTTGTTAAACTCGCACCTAAACGTAACATTTGGCATTTAGCGCCAGACTTTTTAACTGAACACGCTGAGCTCGCATATTGCACCAAATGCAGCGTAAATATCACTTACGGGAGGTCCAATCGTCAAGTGGCTCCGCACTTGGAGCGATTTCACCCGGCGGATTTTGCCTGTAACTGTGCGTCTGGTCGAACTCTAAACGCAGAGTTGGCTTAAGCCGCCAGCGATATACGTGAGATTACTAAAGAGGAGCAGAATCATGTGAATACGCTGCTAGCTCGATGGGTCGCTTCGTATTTTCGTCCACTGCTGATCGTTGAAGACGAGGATTGTGACGTGCCTATCGAGTACGTAGCCAAGACACTCGGTCACGTGAACGTACACCTTCCCAAGCGCTGTAGCGTAATTTTTGCTAACGAGCTGCGGGATTATGTGTATTAGGAGATCCGTGAATCGTGTGAGTACTATTCGATAACTGCCGACCTCTGGACTGCGTCAAACGGCCTAAGCTCCATAGCGCTTATCATTCACTATGTCTACGGAGACTTTAGCCCGAAAAACGGGACACTAGAAGTTAAAGAGATCCCTGGTAAACGTACTGGTGACCATATTGCGCAGTACATGGAAGACATTATGGGCGATTGGGGGGTGGGGCTGATAAGGGGCGATACACTCAATTAGTTCGGGACTCGGGATCCAATATGGTGTCATCCGGAAAACAGATGAGGATTGAGCATTATTTGTGCTTGACGCACGATATCCATCTCGTTGTGTCAGGCGCCATGTCGACAGCCAAAAACGCATCTTCTTTAGAAGAAGCATATCCGTGGGTCTCAATTGACTCCGACTGGGACACATCTGAACACGAAGAAGATGACGGTTTGTCTGAAGCAGAAATTAAGCGTTTGAGAAAGGTTGCAATGGAGAAAATGGACATATACCTCGATGAAACACTTTCTAATTTAGAAATGGGAGACATGGAGATTGTTCGAGGTGTCGCTCGAAAGTTTCGCGCTCCATCTGTAATGGGCCTACGCTAAGCCCACTCCTTCGGCTTGCACGTGCGCACATGTATGAAGAAGCGTAAGATGCGTTTCAATTAGATTAACTGTACTTTTGTCCGAAAATATAGAGTTACTTAAATAAAAAGCAAAGGAGATGTCCGGTAAAATTGAGAACTGTTTATTTGTTTGTTTACATGTTAGGTCTTCCTCCTAATCTAATATTCTAAATGAAAGGTATTTGCTAACGAATGGCTGACAGAATCCTACAATTCTAATTGGTTGAAGATTTTTACTTTCAACCAATGAATGCCCTAGCTGCATGTAGACCAATAGTCTGCCAAATGTAACCATTGGTGTATCTCACACCGCAAAACCTGAACCAAAGCTCATGATACTTGCAAGATGAGCTGTTTTTCCGCAATTAACTACGCCTACATCAAGCACTCGGATCAGGAGTCCATCGCCCCCGACACAATTGGTGATTTCAATTGGAGTAAATATAAATATGTATTACTACCTATGACGCTTAGTGACCACTCGACTATTGTAATTATCCAGAATGACAGACACGCAAAAACAAAATCACCACATTGACTTGTTAAAAGGTAGCAGGTGCGTAGTAGGAAGCAGAATGGAAAGTGAGATTAGTGAGTGACCGTTCGGCCGTCTATCCTTCCTATCCTTACCTACGCACGCCATCCGAGACCTCAAGCTGGTCGGCGCATCCCCCGAATCCTGGCGCCATATCCCTTGAATCTCAACATGACTTGCTTCACAATGGACACGACAAGGATTGTATTTTCGCGTGCGTGGACAGGTGGTTTGCGGTTTTACACACGAGCCGCGGGAGATTCGAGGCGGCCAGGGCTTTTTCCTACACCCCAAGCCCCGCTAAACTAACGCGGTAGATTGCGGCATATATGTATGCTGCACTACCTTTACGAGGTCGCTAAGCATATTAAGCAGCACAAGCCAAGCTCAATACTTGTGGCAGATTGAGGCGCTCACCAAGGGCGGCTTCAATACCAACAAGGCCAACCAATCCAAGAAGTCTCTCCTTTCTCAGCTCACAAAGACTGTGTATAAGCTAACTACTAGGACATATTTTTTATCGAATTGATTCATATCAAAATGACAATGTATCTTCATTGATGTACGGCTTGCGAAAGCTAGGTAGGCCTACATGGAGTTAAGCTTGGGCAAATGAAGAGTCGTTGCGTACAGGAGACAAAAGCCATGAATTGCTGTACAGAAGCGTGCTCGACGTCGTGCAAACGCGCACTGGACCTTCTACGTGTGAAAGCGTATGCTGGTGGCTATTTTTGTATCTACTAAGACCGAATCTCATTCTATTGTGGGCTTTGACACGCTCTGGATGAAGTGTAAAGAGCCAGCACTTGAGAGCCACAGGCTGAGCTGCTGCGCAGGCGGAGAACAGGGGACAGCTGCAATAGCATTAAGAGGTCACACAAAATAGATAACTGTATGGAATTCGAGCAGTTAAATATTTAATGCTTCGTACACAATTAAAAAGTAATTATCGACGCGACACAATGCACTTCGCGGACCACCGTTTTCGCCGACCAACACTGCCTGTTGGTCCTCAAAAGAGCAGCATCTCTAAGTGAAGCGGGGGCATCCGAGTGCGATGATGAGAAAGCGGATGCTTGACCTGAGAGAAGAATCTCTCTACGCAGCTCGACGTAGGAGGAATGGGGGTAGCTGGTACAATTAATGTGAGCTGTGAACTGTACAATCTTCTCAAAAAAATTAATTGTATTCCTGAGAAATTTGGAAATAAATTATTAGATTCTAAGTTTCACCACTTCGGTAAAATATTTTACGGAAATATCTTAATTTATCTAAGTTGTAGGAACGAATAATGGTCACTTTGAAATGATGATGAAATGGATTATTAATAATAAATACGACTGTGCAGTTAATCAATGAGAATCGTACTACTTATAACCAGGGATTGGTAGTAGAATCAAAAATATGAATCTAGAGTAGTACTAATACTACTACTATTTACATAGTAGTCATATGAATACCGAATGTTTGGTATTCACTATTGGTATTAGTATTACTCTCAAATCCCAGTACTATAGTACTCACAAAGAACTATTTTCACCAGAACCCTGAACCAGCGAAGCCACCCCTCATTTGACAATTTTTAACTGAGTGGCTCTCGTTCTGCAGTGCGAGACGCCCGCCAATTGCAAACAAACAGGAAGATCGCCAGTTCATCGAGTAAACATCTCAGGAGACAACTATGGCGTGCTTTCTGGAGGGATGTCAGGAAGACGATGGCTTTAAGAAGGACCCGTGTACTGTGTGTGGAAGGCTTATACATCACATGTGTGCTATTGGCGTCTACGAAGGCAGCGATTCGGCACTAAATGAAAGGTATTCCAGCCAACTTGTCTGATTCTAACCGGGCGTATAGTAATTTAAAGTGATGTCTAGGTTTTGCAGTCCTTCTTGTGTGCGTGTCGTGTATCCAGAGGTCAGCCCACCTGCGTCAGCTTCCGCCACTGGAAAACGGACAGCCACGCCTGGTGGATTAAGAGATATCTGGGAGGGTACCGACTCGGACTTCACCCCATCTCCAGATCTATCTGGGGTCAAGGATGACGATCGCGTAGTGAAGCGGCGGAGAACTGCTCCAGGCCCTGCCGTAAAGGCCTCGAAGAAGAAGACACCTCTGTCTACGCAGACCAATGCTGGGAAGAAGAAAGCAGCTCCGCCTTCAGAGGCTGCCAACAGTCTTTTCACGGCCGCACCGGTACCGCTGTCTGCACCTCCGATGTCAGATCTTGGTGTGCCACTTACCGTTAAGCACGCGAGGAAAGCGGGCACTACAGACGATATCTGGGATCTCATCCACACGCTGGACGTGCCGTACAAAAAGCAAAACCCTTGGAGGCCGTCCACCCAACTATATCGCAACATCTGCCTGTTGTGCTGCGATACTATCAAGTCCCGCTCCAAGACGAACCCATATTGTTGGGAAGCGGCTCTCAGGAATACCAAGAACGCAAGCAATGCAAAGGATCACATAAAACTAAAGCACGCCGACCATCCTCTTGCCATTCACGCGGAACAGAGTGCTACGGATAAGTCCAGGAAAGATGTCGAGTCCGCCGAAGTGGATTCCGCGTCCGTGTTGGACCTGACACGGGATCCGGATCAAAACCAAACGTCCATTACTTCTCCTGACGAGGCGATACTGGTGTCAGGAGGAAGTGCTTCTAAGCCTTTCTTCCGAGTGAGCGAGAAGACTTTGAACGTTCTCGTCTCGAAGCTCTTGATCTCACAGGGACTACCGTACACGTTGTGTGAGTCCGCCGCTTTCAAGGACCTCATTCGCGCTGCTACTGGAAACCCTGCGTTTCAAGTCCTGGGCCGCGACAGGCACGACCGTCTACTAAATGGCCACTTTCAGCTATTTTGCGAATTGGTAGGTGAATCGCTGTCCACTGAGTACGAGAAAGCTTGTAATATGACGTTTCTCAATCTCATTCACGATATATGGACAAGTTGTGGAAAGGATAACATCGTAGGTGCATCTGTCGCCTTTATTGACAGTTTGTGGAGATTCTGCTTTATTGCGGTACTCGTCTGCGTGAAGAATGACGGCCACAACGCCCCAGCCGTCGCTAAGGTCATCGAGAGTGCGTTTAAATCACGGTTCAATCTGGATATTCGCTCATTGACTCGATACACCATGTCGGACACGACTCCATCAGCGAAGAACGTCGCTGATCACATCGACACTGAGCAAGATAATTGCTCTATGCACTTGTTAAACCTGTGTATTGGATACGGTATCGGCCTCAAAGACAATATTCAGACGACGACTGTCTGGAACGAATTTACAGGATCGTGGGACAAAATAGCTACTACGGTAACACCCGGAGGTGCTCTGTACGAAGGCGGGGACGTGATTCACAAGATTCGCAACCTGAACAACCACTTCCGGTCGCCAAAACAGCGCAATGCATTGAAGAAGATCCAGGAGGCCCTCTCATACCCAGAACTGGAGCCGATGACGGAGCAAGACGTCCGCGTTGCATACACATGCAAACTTATTAGAAGGTCTGTCGTCAATTACGGAGCTTTTGATGCTTACTTCCAGTCTACGAAGGATTCTACTAGCTCATGGAGCGCTCTGACCGCTAAGGATTGGACGCTTGCTGTCGAAATGGAGGCAGCCACCAATTTCATAGCCAATCTTACTCTGGTAGAGGTGCAGAGCGAGAACCTTGTGTCGTCGTACATGGTTATGTTTCGGCGGCTTGCAGAGAACAAGTTGAAGTCATTCAAATTTGAAGCCATGGCTATTGAGGCTCCTGGAGCCAAGGATGCTAGCGAAGCGAGTCATCGTCGAGTGACGAGGACGAGAGACCAGTTCTCGGACGCTGGTAAGACATGTCTCCGAAGAACTCTCATGCAGCTGCAGGCTCGTTTTCCCAAGGTAACCACGGAGTCGATGACATGTGTTCTGCTGGATCCTAGGACAAAGTCCAGTGCGAAGAAGATTGCCGCCGTCGGTAATATTCCACGCAAGGAGGAAAAAGCTATCTTCTAGAATGGTGTTGACTTTCTTCGTGTCGAGCATAGAAAAGTGTTTGCTCAGATGACCAAACAGGGAAAGATCTCTCTCTCTCTTAGCCGTCGCTGTCCCAAAGTAGTCTATTGAGCCAAGACTCGTCGCCTTTTTCATCGCCCTCATCAACGGGCTGGGATGACGCAGATGAACTCTTACTAGGAGCACCTATTCGGGCTACAAAGACAAGAGACGAGCTAAAGGAGACGGAGATCATTGCCAGAGCCGACGCTGTACTGCGAGAGTGGATTGATTTAGAACAAGAGTGGCTCGAGGCCGCCCAACGCCAGAGCCCCAAGATCAAGATTGAGGACTTGTCGAAGGACATGTCGATTGACGCACAGAGCGGGATGCACTACGCTCTGTTGGGCCTCTACAAACATATAGATGTGCTAAAGTGGTTTTGAGATGAAGGTGAAGCTCAGTTCCCCTCTATTACGCTACTGGCGCGTATCCATCTTTGGCAAAATCTCGTCTTCAGCGTTCCAAGAGAGGGTGTTTTCAACTGGAGGGATAGTTATGGGACCTCTAAGGACAAGGACGGATAGCAGGCGAGCGGAGAGGCAGCTGCTACTGCGGCACAATAGGGATGAAATCATGAAGATGAAGCGCAAGTCGAACGAATCGTAAGTCAGAAATAGTAGTAGTCAAGATAGTATACTAATATGACTACTACTACTACAACTACTTTGTAGAAGCGCTACTATTTCTTATATGTATCCTTTCGTGGAGACCCAATAGTCCCGGTAATACTACTACCGGTTTTTTTACGCTACTACTAATCCCTGCTTATAACGCGATGCTCAGGAGAATCATCTGCAGATTGTACAATGGTTGCATGTTAACCGTAGCGAAGGGTGCTCACGTCTTACATTGAACGAAGTAGCGAAGCGCGGACACTTCGAAATGCTCAAAGGACTGGACTGAAGGCTGCACCATTGCAGCTATGAGCGCTGCTGTGACCCACGGACGTCTTAATATAGTGCATTTCTTGCATAGCAACCGATCCGAGGGATGCACCAGCAGCAATGGACGGCGCAGTGGAGAAGAATCACCTCGATATCGTCCAGTGGCTCCACCATAACCTCAGCGAAGGATGTTCAAGGCGAGCGATGGATGCAGCAGCTCGAAACGGGCATTTGGGAATGGTGAAGTAGCTGGATTCGAATCGAGTTGAGGGATGGTCGGCGAGTGCTATGGATGGAGCGGCCGAGAACGACCACTGGATAATGCTAAATACCTACACGCATATCACTCTGAAGCATGTACTCCTCGTGCGATGGAGTATTCAACAGGAAACGGACACCGTGAAGTGGTGCAGCGATTGCATAGTACCGGTAATCGTCAGGAAGGCTGCTCCTCGAATGCAATAAATAAGCCGCCACGAACGGCCATTTGGACGTCATGCGTTTCCTACGAACACATTGTCTGCAGGTGCCATATAGCAAGCGCTTGTCCAAATGCTGGAATGGCTCCGCTCAGACTGCAACCTACGCATTAAACGCTAAGCCAGGATTGCTATTTAGAATTGTCGTTCATTAAGCCAGCCTCATCTTGTGGGAATTTGTATCTTAATGCTGCAGTCCCTTGAGGAGGAGTGTGAAGGCATTATCTACCTGTGTCTGATACTCAGCCAGAAAAGAGGGAACGGCGGCCACGTCGACGCGTTCAGAGCTTCGGATGAATTCCTTGGGGAGGCTGATACCGATGTGGGCGACCACGCTCATGTGGAATCCGCCGCTCAAAACCACTTGAAGCTGCTCAACGCATTTACTGCCGCCGTGCCCGCCGTACGTCACCAGCACGACTGGTTTATTCTTCCACTCTTTGTACAGGTGTTCGAGGAGGTTCTTGAGCTGACCGGGATATCCCCAATTGTACTGCGGTGTGAGGATCACGAAGGCGGGTGTGGCAGTCACGACCCGGCTCCAGGCCTAGACTGCTGGGCAGGGATGCCGAATATTGCATTTATATCTATTACTAATCAAAGCAGAAAATAAATAATTGGGTTAGAGAGCTGACTAGACCAAAATAGATTATTGAACTTCCTCAGCTCAAAAAATAGATTATTGGTGCAGCAAAATTGGTACACAGCGAGGGCACCAGTATCAAGGAATGTATGTTAAACACCGCCCAATAGATTATTGGTGCTACAACGGGAGCGAAAATAAATAATTGATCTTCCTCTCCAGAAAGTCTCCAATAGATAATTGGTGCTTTCTTATTGCAATAATTGCAGCACCAATTTATTTTTCGGCATCCCTGCTGCTGGGTCGGCATAGTCTTCTGGCGACTCGATTGCTGCGGCTATCACGGGGTCTATAACGGGTCCGGTAGGCAGAGGTATATCCTCCATCAGGTTGGAGGCAAGGACGAGCTTGGTAACGGAATCGGCGACGCAGTTGAACCTCGCCATCAACCAAGAAGCCAGACCGTCGCCGTTGTTGGTGGAGCGGATGCTTCCAACGATCAGTGCGGGCGGAGATGAACAGGATGGAGCATTCATTGGACGCTGCAGTGTGGATTTCTACGACTTGCGATGGATGGGAAAGTGGATGCTAAGGAGTCATTCTGGGGGGACCGTCTCAGATGCCACAGTCACTGAGTCAGTCTGAGTCAGTCAGTCAGTCACTCGACGCTACCCGGAGACAAAGCTGCGTAAGTATTTCTGAAAGGCGCCAACTAAAAATAGCGACTTGGATTTAAAAAAATAGCGAGCAACATGGTTTGAAAATACTTCGGTGGGCGATGATGTCATTGTTGTGATGGGGCTTGAGAGCTATTCTCAATCGAGGTGTTAATCAATCAACCCTGGTATATCACGTGGGGCCATAAAACCATCGATAAGCAGCACATGACCACCAGGAAGATCATTCCTTTGAATACGGCAAGTGAGAAGATGCCAGGGCCACAAGACTCCACTGTAGGCAAAAACTGTGAACCTGTTCAAAGCGTCCCAGGAGCAGTCCCATCTTTCCCAACGGCAGAGCAACGTAGCTTCCGTGACAGATTATCTGACGCTCCAGACCCTCAGGCCCCAGCGCCTTCAGCTCGAGTGAGTTTTGATGCGACAGCAGCTGATAAGCCCGTTAGGAGACGTATGTCAGTGCAACGGCAACGCACTGCCTCCAAACTTGCTACAGCGGTGTCGATGCACTCCCTCATAGCGACACCAAGACCGTCATCAACGAAAGCAGAACTATTAGCGAAGCATAATCGAGCAATAGCAAACATCAGAGCACCATCCAGACACATCACAAAGCTCGAGAAAGTCACATACGAAGTGGATCAGTACATTTCCTCGCGCAGAGGACAGATCTTCACTCTATCGGTGGTAGGACTCGTGCTGATTGTGATTGGTGGGATACTTCTCAAGGCCGTGCAGCCATCCAGAGAGTTCGGAGAGACTGTGTGGGACTCCTGGACGTATATGGCAGACACGGGCTCTCATACGTCCCTGGCTCAGGATGTTCGTATATTTGTTATTAACTGCATTATTCTCCAGCTAACGCACGTGTATATTCCAGGGTCTTCGAGTGGTTGGAGTACTGACGACGTTAGTGGGTATTCTGTACTTCTCCGTGGTCATGGGCTTCGTCGTTGACGGCATTCGAGATAAGTTGGATACATTGAAGAAAGGCAAGTCCATTGTCGCCGAAGAACAGCACACGGTAAGTGATAATTGTTAGGGAAGGGAATGTAAACTAACGTTTGGTATGTGGTAGCTTCTTCTCGGCTGGACAGAAAAGTCGGTGTCTTTGATTCGACAGATTTGCTTGGCGAATGCCAGTGAGCACGGTGGAGTTATCGTCGTGCTCGCCGAAATGGATAAGGAAGAATTAGAAGCTGAGCTCGAGTCTCAGATGCGGAAGGAAGAGCTGCGAGGAACTCGTGTCATCTTCCGCACTGGAACACCTCTGCTATCTGTTGATTTACTAAAGGTGTCCGCGCACAGAGCCAAGAGTATTATTATCATGGCAAACTCGACAGGTGATGCGGATCGATCTGACGCGGCGATACTTCGCACTGTTCTTAGTCTCAAGACTCTTCCCGAGGTATGTGCATTATCCTTTTTCTATTAAATTAAAGCTGAAAATCCTAACATTTATCTACTTTATAGCTGACAGGCCATATTGTAGCTGAGTTACGCGATATCGACAACGATCCGTTGGTTCGGCTAGTTGGAGGCAAAGAAGTCGAGATCCTCGTATCACACGACATCATTGGACGCCTGGTGCTCATGTCCGCTCGATCTCCTGGCCTCGCACGCGTTTACTCTTCTCTGCTTGGGTTTGAAGGCAACGAGTTTTACTTTAAGGAATGGCCTGAATGTGTCGGTGTACCGTTTGGTGACCTCACTGAGCGCTTCCCTAACGCGATACCGGTCGGTATCAAACGGAAGAATGGCGAGGTATTCATCTGTCCGAATGCTGACATGACGCTAGAAAGAGGAGACCAGATTTTGGTTCTAGCCGAAGATGACGACACGTACAAGGCCTGTCCTCCCGTCTCCATTGAGACCGGAAACGCACCGTCACCACCCGTTAAACAGCCTTCAAGGGAACGTATTCTAATGTGTGGTTGGCGTCGAGACGTGCGAGATATGATCCAGTTACTGGACGCAGTTGTAGAGCCTAGCACCGAGCTGCACATAATCTGCGAAGAGCCCATCCATCTACGCAACAAGCTTCTACTTGAAGGAGGATTGACGGTGGAGAGCTTGAAGAACATCAAACTTGTTCATTACGTGGGGAACACGGCAATCCGCCGACAACTGGAGAGGTTACCGTGGCACTCGTTCACTTCAATTATGATTTTATCCGACCAATCTCGGGAGCTGGATATCATGCATTCTGACTCACACTCGCTGGCTTCTTTACTCCTGATTCGCGACCTACAAGCTCGAAGTTCCAGTCGGAACAGCGTCATCCTAGGAGCTCCTGGCTACTGCAAATGCATCAGTGAGATTCTGGACCCACGGACGCAACGCACGATCTCCACAAGCGCCACCATCCTCACGCTATCGGAGTTTATTCAGTCGAACGAACTCGTCAGCTGCATTCTTGCTATGATCTCTGAAAGTCGTGATGTGCGAGTGATCCTGGACGAGTTATTAGGACCTCAAGGTGCGTTCTTCGAGGTGGAATCCTCAGCTCGATACTGTGAACCAAACGAGCAGGTTTCCTTTTGGCAATTGGCCAAACGGGCGATGGCACAGGGAGATATTCTATGTGGATACCAAGTTCGTGGGGTAGAGGAGACTGTTCTAAACCCGGGATCGAAACATCTTCTGCAGTCTTGGGAGGAGATGGACATGATTGTGATCCGAAATGAGGACGATGGCTTCGCATCGCATGAATCTTCGTACGTACCAGTCGTTTCCGAAGACTTTGAACGCACAACAATCAGTCGCCACGTGAAGGCGACGTACTCCAGACAACGACTTCTGGACGCTATCGTGCAAGAGTCCGATCTTAACAGCTTCAGTGAGGTCTGCAGCGAGACCGACCGTGCGACGATCTTGCGAGCGCTGTACTCGTTTGACCCTGAACCGGATGAAGATTGCGTCACAGTCAGTAGCGAGAGCAGTATGACGGACGTGTTGTCGACACAAACCCACCAAGTCAGTGTACGTGCATTAGTTGCCGCGGCACGGATTCTAGCCGACGCGTTAGAAAAGGCAGACGCTAACCATGTGAAGAGTGTCTAAAGCCTGGGTAGTAATGGACTTGCGTTAGTGTGCAATATACGGAGAGAAGACTCGGATGCGCGTCACCGTTTACCTGTTACGTGGAATGCGAAATAGTTGCATCAATCGTCGCGCCTCCTCACCTTTCAGTTGTTTTGGTGTAATAGTCGTCCGTCTAAATAATCAGGATATGAGCTCGTATAAAGTCATTCCAGGGCTCGAAAATGACACGGAGGAACTGCCATCGGGAGTCGACATCGCGCCACCTCCGGCTCGTACTGGCACGTTTACAGGGTTGGTGAATCCAGAGCCGATCGAACGAAGCAGGTCGTCGAGAGGCTCATTGACGCCGAAGCCGCTTCAGCCAAGCAGATCGCAGATGCTGGCAAGGATGCCAACGAGTAGAGCCGAGATGCTGGCCAAACAGAACCGAGCTATCTCCAAGATCAAGGCTCCATCCAAGAAAATCTCCACGTCCGAGTGGATAGCGTACAGAATCGACCAGTACATTTCAACTAGACGAGGACAAACAGCTTCACTGTCGATACTGGGACTGATGCTCATGACATTAGGAGGATTCATTTTAAAGGCTGTGGAGCCATCGCATGCGTTGAGGGAAACAGTGTGGGAAGCGTGGACATATCTGGCCGACGCAGGCACACACACCGCGCTAATGGAGGAAGTACGACCCAGTTTTGCATTCTATTTTTCAGATACTAGCGAAGATCACACTTTTCAATTTATTGATGCAGGGCATGCGAATAGTGGGCGTAGTAATGAGTCTGACAGGTATCTTGTATTTCTCTGTGATCATGGGTTTTGTCGTCGACGGAATTCGAGCCAAGATGGATATGCTCAAGAAAGGCAAATCGAATGTTGCGGAGCAGAACCACACGGTACAGCACAAGATCTGCATGCCAATTGCTCATCACCTCACTGTTTTCTTTTTTTTTCAGCTTCTACTCGGATGGTCTGACAAGTCGATTTCTCTGATTCGACAAATCTGTTTGGCCAATGCGAGTGAAAACGGCGGAGTTGTCGTCGTTCTCGCGGAAATCGAAAAGGAAGAATTAGAAGCGGAACTGGAATCTCAGATGCGCAAAGAGGAACTTCGAGGCACTCGCGTCATTTTCCGAACTGGAACTCCGCTGCTGTCGGTAGATCTCCTCAAAGTTTCAGCCCACCGTGCCAGGAGTATCATCATCATGGCCATTTCTTCAGGAGATGCAGATCGCTCTGACGCAGCAATTTTGCGCACTGTGTTGAGTTTAAAGACGTTACCCGAGCTATCAGGCCACATCGTAGCTGAGCTGCGGGATATTGACAATGACCCGCTCTTACGACTCGTAGGTGGCAATGACGTGGAAATTCTGGTTTCGCACGACGTAATCGGTCGACTAGTTCTCATGTCGGCTCGATCTCCTGGTCTTGCGAGGGTATATTCGGCACTTCTGGGGTTCGAAGGAAACGAATTCTACTTTAAAGAGTGGCCCGAATGCGTCGGTGTATTGTTTAGTGGTCTCGCCGAGCGCTTCCCGAATGCGACGCCATTAGGTATCAAGCGGAAGAATGGCGAGGTGTTTATTTGTCCAAAAGCAGATTTAGCAGTCGAAGAAGGAGACGAAATTTTGGTTTTAGCGGAAGACGACGACACGTACAAAGCGTGTCCTCCTGTACCCATTGAGGTTGGGCGAGTTCCAGTTCCACCGTCCAAAGTCTCTTCTCAAGAGCGCATTTTGATGTGCGGATGGCGTCGAGATATTCGAGATATGATCCAACTACTCGATGCTGTTGTTCGGCCTGGCACCGAACTGCACATGATTTGTGAAGAACCCATTCAACTGAGAAATAAAAGCCTGCTGGAGAGTGGTCTGGATGTCAACACACTTAAGAATCTGAAGATTGTCCACCACTTGGGCAACACTGCGATTCGAAGACAACTCGAAAAACTGCCTTGGACCTCGTTCACGTCGATCATGATACTGTCCGATCAGTCGCGAGAGACGGATATTATGCATTCGGATTCCCATTCCTTGGCTTCTTTGCTGCTGATTCGAGACCTGCAAGGGCAGAGCTTGAGAGCGAACAGCGGCTCGGAAGCTGTACCCAATTATTGCAAATGCATCAGCGAAATTCTGGATCCCCGGACACAGCGGACGATCTCTACGAGTGCTACGATTCTCAAACTTTCAGAATTTATTCAGTCCAACGAGCTAGTGAGCTGCATCCTGGCGATGATCTCAGAGAGTCGAGACGTTCGTGTGATACTTGATGAGCTGCTGGGACCACAGGGTGCGTATTTCGAAGTCGAATCTTCAACTCGTTACTGTGAAGTGTTCGAAAAAGTGTCGTTCTGGCAGTTGGCAAAGCGTGCGATGACTCGAGGTGACATTCTGTGTGGGTATCAAGTTCGTGGGGCGGAAGAGACGGTATTAAATCCGGAAGGTAAAGATCAGTCGAGACTATGGAATAACACGGATATGATCGTGATAAGGAACGCCAAGAACATTACATTGCCGACGCGTAGATCTTCACTCACAGTGGTGAATGCTGACGACTTCGAGCGTACCACAAAAAGTCGACAGGTGAAGGACCAGTATTCTCGACAACGTTTATTATCTGCTATTATCCAAGACGCCGATCTAGTGATGCCTGCCAAAGCAGGTGACGTGGAGCGTACCAACGTCATGAGAGCATTGACCAGCTTCGCCGAAGACGACGACGACGACGGGTATGGTAGCCATTCGGCATCTTTCGCATTTAGCCAGAACCGGCAAACCAATGTCCGTAGACTCATCGCTGCTGCAAGAATGCTCGCTGATGAGCTCGAACAGGCTGAAAACAGTCGAACTATGGGCAGCGAATCCTGCGAAGAGCTTGATGAAGCCGTGTCTGCATTCGACTAGCTGTACCGCAACATGGCTACATCATATTTATCATGTTTGCGACACTAAATAATGTACACCACGTAGACTAATTTTGACTTGAGCTGAGTATGCTGGAATGTTCGAGAAAACTTCCGATCTGTTGGCAGCCCACATCCAAAGTGGAAATTTGACTGGGGCTCGCGGCGCCAGGGCAGGCGATAGATAGGTACACACAGGGCAGGCACCATGACGGAAGCAACCGCCGAGGAGTTCAAGGCGCAGGGTAATGAGCTGTACAAGCGCGGAGACTATCAGCGCGCTATCGAGAAGTACACACAGGCTATCGATGCCGCCCCCACTGTCGTGGCCTACTATGGCAATCGTGCAGCTGCTTCCTTTATGCTGGGCAAGCACAAGGACGTGGTGACGGACTGCAACCGTGCTATCGTGTTTGACCCACTCTACATCAAGGGATACGTGCGCAAGGCCAAGGCGCAGATGGCTATGGTACGAATAAGATGGATATGTGTCCATGTTGACAGGACGCGGTTGTTATACATGGCTACTTTTTTTTACTTAGGGTGACAATGACGCCGCCATCAAGACGTACCAGGCGGGTCTGGTGCGCGACCCGAACAACGCGACACTGCTGAACGAGAAGCGTACGCTCGAGATGGCGCTGGACAAGCTGCAGCGCGGCAAAGAGCATATCGCAGCGGTACGAACACATGGCTACAATGAAAACAATAAAAATGGCTAACTTTTTTACTTTTTTAATTATCTCGATACAGGGCCGGTTCTCGCAGGCCGTGAACGTGCTGGACAGCGCAGCGAAGGTGTGCACGGGCTCCAGTCAGATCAAATTGCTGCGTGGCGAGGCTCTCATTGGCTGCGAGCGGTACGACGAGGCCTTCGCAGTGTTGACGCAGCTCATGCGCACAGACTCGAGCAGCCCCGAGCTGCTGTACCTGCGTGCTCGCTGTCTGTACTACCAGGGCGAGTTCCCCAGCGCCATTAAACACTTGCAGCAGGCTCTACGCTCCGACCCAGACAACTCCAAGTGCATGAAGGAGATTAAGCGTATCCGTCACCTGGAGACCAGCAAAGAAGAGGCCAACAACGCCTTTAAGGGCGGCAGAATGGCCGAAGCCGTCGAGATGTACACGGAATGTCTCAAGATCGACCCGCAGAACAAGGCCTTCAACTCGAAGATCCACTGCAACCGCGCCAATGCCTTGTCGCGTCTGAGCCGACATGAAGAGGCAATTAAGGACTGCGACAAGGCCATCTACTACGATCATGGCTACGCGAAGGCGTATCTCCGTAAGGCTGCGTGTCTGAAGGCTCTCGGCGGTCTGGAGAACTTGGAGCAGGCGCTGCGTGTGTACGACCAAGCTTCGAAACTGGTAGGCGACGACGCCCAGCGTGACATCCAGAGCAACATTCGGCAGACCAAACTGGACATCAAGAAGGCCAAGCGCAAGGACTATTACAAGATTCTCAATGTCTCTCAGAGTGCGACGGAGGCGGAGATCAAGAAGGCGTACAAGAAGTTGGCGCTCAAGTTCCACCCGGATCGTCACGCTGGCAAGTCGGAAGAACAACAGGCCGAGGCGGAGGCGGCTTTCAAGGACATTGGAGAGGCCTACGCAGTGCTGTCGGACGCTCAGAAGCGACAGCGCTACGACTCAGGAGTGGATCTGGAAGACCTCGACAATGACTTTGGAGGAGGTGGCATGGGCGGCGGCATGGGCGGTGTCGACCCGTCGCAGATCTTCCAGGTACGGCTATCACATCTTCGTGACGTTATTTTATTTTTTATTGAGACTCTGACGTGTGATTCTTTTTTTTATTATGAATATTGTAGATGTTCTTCGGTGGCGGCGGCGGCGGCATGGGTGGTATGGGTGGCATGGGAGGAATGGGAGGAGGCATGGGTGGAATGGGAGGAGGTATGGGTGGAATGGGCGGCATGGGCGGCCAGCGATACCACTTTGGTTAGAGTACTTGCTAGCTCCGAGCGTGTAGTGATCGGATACAGACAACAGACGAGAAGTTTAAGACGGTTTGCAGCCGTCATTGACGATAATAATGGTTCGTGCATGCTCAGTGTGCTTGGAACATTTATTATATGTACCGGTACTCGTATCAAATACCGTATTCCTTATGTGATTGGCGACAGTCAAATTCTTGAGGTGGTCCAGCCTTTCTGCCAGCATAAAAGATACCTGCATAGAAAAACTATTTTACATGCTCAAAATTATATTGGTCGCCAAGCACATAAAGCGCGACGACACGAAATTTAAATCAATTTGATTGGCTGCTGGATTTGTCGCTAATGACCGAGCGTCGCCAATCACATAAGGAATACGGGTATTGTAATAACAGTTGGAGTTTGATCAATGTGGTGTACACTACACATTTACGTTTCTAATTCTCATCCAATCGTTCGTAACTTGGCCCGTAACCTGATAACATTCCTCAATCGACATGGCTGGCGCAGCAACGACAATGAACACGGACTCGCAAAAACGTTTGCGTACCAACGAAGAAGGTGATTCAGTCGATGCAGCCGAGACACAGTTTGTCAATGAGTACAATGGCTACAAATTGCCGGAAGATAATTGCACCATTAAACGCATTCCAGTTAACAGCGTCACACCGGAGCAGTTCTTTGCCAACTATGTGTGCACACGGACACCAGTAGTGCTGACCGGGTATCTATCGGACGAGGAGTTTACTGCACCAAGTAAGTGGGCAAGCTCCGACGAACGTCTCATCGAACTTGCAGGAGACACGAAGCTGACGGTGGAACGTCGTGGAGATGTCCACGATAAGTTTGGCAAGGGAGTTGCAGTAGAAATGCCGTTTCGTGACCTTCTCATGCTCATCGCATCGGGTGACGAGATGCACTATCTGACGACACAGGAGGTGGCATTTGAAGAGAATGGAAGGCCGGAGGTTATGGCTCCATTCATGAAGAAGTTACAAACGGACTTTCCGATGCGTCCGAAGCTTATGGGCCACTTGATACCGCAGAATATCAACATGTGGATGGGAAACAACAAGCACGGATCGTCATCAGGACTGCATCATGATCACCACGACAACCTCTACATTTTAATGCGCGGCAAGAAGCGCTTTCGGTTGTATTCCCCCGGAGACGCTGACAAGATGTATGTGCGTGGACGGATGGCACATGTGCATCCAAATGGATTAATTAACTATGTAGGGAAGGAGACGACGCCGTATGGAGCCGATCCGGCTGCGGAGCGTGAGGCGCTTGCTGCTATTCAGAGGAATGAAGCCGAACGCGAGTTGGCTGAAGCGGAGAAAGCAGTGGAAGCGGGAGAACCGGGAGCGGAAGCTCGTCTGGAAGCGGCTGAGGAACAGCTGGAGAAGGCCATGTTCGATGTGCTGCGTGCCGATAATAGTGACGATGAAGGCGATGAGGAGTTTGAAGACGGCGCGTTCCACTTCGAAGAGAGCGAAGCGGAGGGAGACGATGAGAGCGAAGTGGGAGAGCTGGATGAACTCGCTTTGGACCCTGTAGAGGAGGAAAAGAAAGACACTAAGCGCGATGTTGGGGAGACCGAGGTCACGTACCCAGTGAGTTTTAGCCAGGTGGACACGCTCAGATTGCGGGACGGCGAAGAGGCAACGCGAGAGCTACATGCGGAGTTCCCTAAGTTTTGTGACGCTAAGGCAGCGTTCTGCGACTTAGAGGCGGGGGACATGCTCTTCCTACCTGCGTCATGGTTCCACGAGGTGGAGTCATTCGGATCTGCTCAAGGCAACGGCCACTTGGCTCTGAACTACTGGTTCCAGCCACCAGACCAACTCACACCCGAACACTTCACGTCGCCGTATTCATCATCCTTCTGGCAACGTGACTGGGATCAGCGTTTTAAAACTAAGGAAGAAGATTAAACAATTAGGATGATAGTCTGAGAATACTACGTTAGTAATTCTATACCAGGTATTGGAATTGAGCGTGGAGCAAGCTTTTCTGGTATAGCCACAGACGCTTACGGGCAAAGGAAATGCCCCAGCCGCACGGGAACGGACCGCCTAAGTCGTTCTGAAATGACCAGCTGATCATCTTCCTGGCAATCTTAAACATCTACTGCAGCAACCTGTCTGTCCGTCACACTAAATTGTCGTGCCTGTCACGCTTTTCCGGAAAAATCATTGGATAAAATAATTTAAATATTCCTACTGGCTGCCGAGCGCAGCGAAGGTGGCTTCAATTGGTTAAAACTAGAATGTGTAGTTGACATCAATAAATACATGTGTTTCCCAGTTTACATATGGGGATTTGCACAAAGTCCGAAGGCGGCATCGTTTAAATATTAAATACTTTTTCATAATGCATGTTGTTATTGATATTTGAATACTACAGTACACGGAGGGCAGGGTGCTTAGCGTACACGTAAGCATGCGTGTTTCCGAGGACATGGTTTAAGTATACTAAATACTCTGTACTCAGTAGGATCTGTGTGTTACACTGACTAAAATGAAATTTCATTTTTTTTACTGCAAAAATATTAGCATTAATAAGTTATCTGAGTGGGTTTCTGGTATTGCTAAATCGTACATGTTACATGTACAGCAGTAGCCGGTCGTGTAGACTGGCCGTAAGAACAAAACTGTGCTTATAAACGTTGTCACTTGATCCACAAAGATATATAGTGTTAGATTGACGTGTGAACAAAAAGAAGTTATATGTGCTGATGACAATTACTACACGTACTGTAAGCGAATTGAACTTGACCATTGTTTCCTTAGCGTTTTTTTAGACAACAAAATTCTGATACTTCTTAATAGGTAGACGCGTTGCCGACAAGGGCGTAGAATAAGGTTTTATATGCAGTGGTAAGATAACAGCACAACATGAGAGGTGTCAATTTTGGTTATTATAAGTAGGCCCGTAAAGAAACGTTAATCAACTTAGAGCCTAATATTTTGGAATCATCAATTAAGTATCAAATAAAAATACCGCCGTCAACAACAACAACAGCAAGGCGTCTTGCGACGCATGGTTATATTCAAAGGCTATAACCATAACAGGCACAGATTGGAGTGTCTAATGACTAATTCTAAATCAGCACAAAATGAACACACTTCAAGGCATAAAAAAATGCTACAGCTTGAATATTTTTATTAAATATTCAAACTGTAACACTTTTAATTTTCTTTCAAAGTAGCGAGTTTGGTTTGCGAAGTGGTTAATAGGCAGTTTATTACAAGCTTAACCAGGCAGTACAAGCGGGTATTTGATGCAAGCTGGACAGATATTCTTTGCATTGATGCAATCTAGGTTTCAGAAACGGCCCGTGAAATCGAGCACGACGCTAAACTAAATATTTTATTTAGCGGTTTCAGACTAAAGTGCAGGTGCTTCTGGGTGGAAGATTAAGGTACAGTGATAGCCAACAACAATAAAGAGACTTTGCCAAGATCACTAGCGTAATCGTTTATGAGCATGGTAAGTATGATGCTAGGGGCTCAGTCTTTTGTACCGGTAGAAATATTTACACGGCTTACTGAAAACTCAGCATTTTGTAGCAAATGAAACGCAGATTTATGAAATTAAAGAAGTCGATTTACGTACATATGAGACTCAGAGGATTTGGACTAATTATCCCGCCGAAGCGAAGCGAAGGCGGGAAGGCAAAAATCTGGAGTAAAACCGAAATTACCGCCGCGTAGCGGCGGCGCTCGGCTAGTATACTACAATACGAATGCTTTCATCCGGATTCGGACTGCTCAGACAATATTACCGGCGTAGGGCCCATTACAGTTAATGTAGGTGTAGTTTTCTAAAGTCGGACGGACTCAAGGCACCCCCCGGTATGTCGTGCTGCTGCAGTACTTCCTCTGGTCGGAAATGATCACGCGAAGTCGACAATTTGACCAATTGCGTTAGTTCTATTTACCCAATTCAGCGTCTGATTGGACTAAAGGAAAGCCCTGCATCTCCTCCACCAGTTTTGCGCCGAACGAACTTCTGTAGCCTCCGCAATCTCACTTTTCGCTCTCAAGGTTTCAAGCCTCGCCTGGAGTGCGACCCGCCACGCCTGCACTACGCTGTTTCTTCCTCTACAAATATGCCGAAGCCCAACCTTACCGATAATGAGCGCAAAGCCGTCATTGACGAGCTTCTAAAAATCAGCAACAACGGAGAATTACCATGTGGAGCGTTTGCTAAGGTTGGTGTTCTTATGGGCCGACATCCGGACACCGTGAGGTTAATTTGGAAGCGGTACAGCTCTGCAGTGACGGCTGGTGTCGTGGGGGGTGATTGGCGTAGCCGGATTAAGAAGAACAGCGGCAGAAAGCGGAAGAATCGAGACGAAGTACGAGACAAACTGAAGAGTGTTCCTATCGAGGATAGAGCGGTTGAAAGACGTGTGGCGGCGGTCTCTGGTCTCTCCAGGCATCTGGTAAGACAGGCAGTGAATGAAGGGATGGTAACGCGACGAACCACGTTTATCAAGCCGTCGCTAACGAATGAAAACAAGATACGGCGGGTAGAGCACGCGTTGTCGTTTATCGACGAATCTACTCTGCAGTTTGAGCCAATGCACAATCTAGTCCATGTAGACGAGAAGTGGTTTTATGCAGACCGCAACAGACGATCATACCTCGTTTTCGACGGCGAAGAACTACCTGCACGCGCCTGGAAGAGTAAACGATTCGTTCCCAAGACGATGTTTTTAGCTGCCCTCGCACGGCCAAGGTAATTCTCTATAATATTATATTTTTGAAATATAAAAACCTCTAGCATTTGATTTTTAATTTTAGGTACGATCCTCACCGAAAGCAGCGTTGGGATGGCAAAGTTGGTATATGGTCTTTCACGGAACAGTACGAGGCGAAACGGCGAAGCAAAAATAGAGACAAAGGAACTATTTGCACTCGTAATATCGATACGGTCTGTCGGGAAGTGTACAAGGATTATCTTCTGACAAAAGTATTTCCAGCGATCAAAGCAAATTGGCCAAGGAAGGATCGGAATGAAATCATATTCGTACAACAAGACAATGCAAAGCCGCACGTAGCGCCAACAGACCCGGATGTAATGAAGGCCGGAACTGAAGGAGGATGGAACATCAAGCTACTATGTCAGCCCCCCAACTCGCCTGACCTCAACTGTTTAGACCTGGGTCTGTTCGCCTCCATGCAAAGTATTTAGTATCGAATACCAAGAAAGGGTATCAACGCTCTCATAGCGTCGGTGGTGGACGCGTTTCGGCAGCTGGAGACTGACACGGTAGATGATATTTTTTTTGACCTTACAGGCATGTATGCTGGAGCTTTTACGAGAAGGAGGAGGCAACCTGTACAAACTACCGCACTTGGGGAAAGCCAAGCTCCGGAGGGCGAAACAACTTCCTGTTAGTTTGTCATGTAGCAAAGAGCTGTATGAGTCTGCTGTCGCGTTACTTAAGTCTTCAAACCGTGGCAGTGCACTGCTATTCAATTTAACATCATCATAAATGACAGTTAATGTGATCTATAAATGACAGTTAATGTGATCTATAACTTTATATAAATCGTAAAATAAGTTCTTAGCGGGTAACAGCACTATTGACCTATCATACTTACTTCGCGTGATCATTTCCGACCAGAGGAAGTACATTACATGGGTGGGAGATTTGGAGTTCGAACCGACGTCAAAGTTTGTATGCTGCGCTGGTTACAGCATCGAAACTCCCACTATTAATAACGACAGCGTGTATTACAGTCGTGCACCTCCAATTCGGCACCGGTATCAGTCGATACCCTGCCAGATTTTATGATAATAGGACATTGCCCTTCCTCCTACATGTCCCTAACTCTAGCACAAAAACAGTCTTTGTGCGAAAAGCACGAGTCAGATCCTGCATGCTCTCACTCCGAACTTGCTCGTTGGGCAACGGAGCGCTTTAAGACCCCCCAAGCAGTAAAGCGCACTACCGTCCAGAGTATTCTTAAGCGGTCGGCGGCTTGCCGGATGAATACCGCGACCGGAAGCGCTGTTGCGCGCCCGCGATTCGCGCGTCTGACGCCAACATTATGCAGAAGATTAGCGTAAATTTTATACTAAATTAACAAAACAAATATCAGTGCACTGGATTTGCGTTTGTTTTTTGCTTTACGTTGTGCACTTATGCCCTGGCACTGTTGATATGGTCCACCCTGCCGAATTGGAGGTGCACGACTGTAATACAGACAACGACGGTGAAACCCAACCCCCCACAAAAACTTGACCCCCCTTACAGTGCAACTTTAAACTCAAGTAAAAATGTTAATTGTAATTTTAGCCAATAATATACTTTCAAATATATTGCTGGACAGCACGCCATGCTGGCGCCGTTTAAACATTGCTGTTTCTGTGAGGTGATGGACGAACGTCGTGGGCAGAACAGCTACACCGTCAAGCAGAGACGGGAAGCGCTCGAGCGGGTGGCTCTGGAGGGATGTAAGCCTACCGCTCGGGCGCTTAATATTCCATTAGGTACGTTGAAGGGCTGGAGAAAGAAGGCAAAGCTGCTGTTTGAGTTTAAGGGACCTCAAACTAGCAGTGTAATGAGCTCTCCCAAGTTGCATATGTAGGTAGTTTTATAGGTTCTTTGTAGTGGTTCACACCATTACATAAGTAGGTAGATTTGCATTACAAAAGTAGGTGCGGCAGCACACGAGTAGCGTGTGCTGAACTGCCGTCACCTTATTGGTTGAAATATGGGGAGCCAGACCCATAATCAACCAATAAGGAGTTGACGTGTATTTGAGTGGTCAGGGCAAGCTGCCCTGGACCTAAATAAAAAAATAGAGCTGATTTTCCTTCAGACTAAGTACTTGGTTTCAGTATCACTGAACTTGTACGCTTCCTCATCACTACGTGTAAGCAAGTAACGGACACCCCAGGCCCGTTACGACTGGTA